AAAGTCAGTATGTAAGCTCCGAGACCTTTTGCCTATTTGCAACGGGGTACCGCAGAGATCAGAACTTCGCCCCTTACTATTTCTAATATAGTATAGTACCGATAACGGATACTGCTTCCTATTTGCAGAAAATATCACCTTGTTGTCTAGACCTGACCTAAACCCAGGTGGTTTTTAGCCAGCAAGTTATTGCTAAATGAGAACAAAACATATCATATTACTTTTTGCTCAGACAGGTAGGTTGTGAAGTCTGAATCAGTAAAACTTCTAGGAATAGTACTCGATACCAGACTAAACTGGACATCATACATTGACTATTTACATTCCAGGAGAATCTGCACACTCCTATCAATTTACATTTTTGAAGTCCTATGTGATTGATATACATACAAATCTAAACAAATATCAAATCTCTGCAAAAATGCATACCTATGCAATACCTAATGTTAATTACCATACTCGCGACTGAATATGACTAAAATTAATACATTCAACACTAAATTATATAATTTATTTGTCAATGCAAATAAAGAACATAATTTTGAAAGTATGTCCAATCGCTGCTTCTCTGAAAAAAAAAACATTCCTTAACCACTGTCTATTTAGTTGATAGATTATAAAAAAGTTTGCAAGCCATCACATGTACGTACATTGTATATAGTTGATAAATGGTATGGTATGGTAAAAATTAGAGTACTTTTGGTATGAAATTTAAGGATTCTAAATATTACATTTTTTGGCATGCAACCTTCATAAAACAGTTATTCTTCTTTCGCTTTATTGTCATACAAGGCGATACTGTTATGTCCAGGATAAGCAATTACATATTTTCCAAAAATTATTTCATGAATCAATCTCAAATCTTAACAGCAGCATAAATTCTACCTTTTCATGGGGTAAATAAATTTGTTTTGACCGGCTTCAGTGGATTTTTCAGCAACATATCAATCTACTAACTAATTTTAACCGCCATTTTCCAGAATACAGGTACTACAAGATGAAGATAGTAACCCTGGAGCTTTGACTGCAAAAAACTCAAAAACTTCGTGGAATTTTCTGCAGATTAAGTAAATATTTTGTTACTACATATAAGCCTATAATATCTGAAATGGCCATTGGTTTGCTATCTCTGAAAGTGTCCTGGCAAAAACATTATTACCCTGGTTTCATCACACTGTGGCTAGTTCGTATCGAATCTCTTCAACTGCTGTGTCCCAAGAGTCATGAACTATTTTTACAGACTGTATTGATGGGCGTTTGGATCAATATTGGGGACAACCCTCAACTTCACAACATTATCAATGCTAATACACTTTGAAAAGATTCCCATACTATCCATATCCACAGTTTGGGCTATACTGATATTTTCGATAACTGTCCTTGAATTGAAACGCTTTGATACACAATGAATATAAAATTAATTCTGCTCATTATGATCTTTCTCGATTTTGGAGGTTTATACCAAGATCTGCGATACCGGTGTTTTTATACATTTGCTCAATTCACGACTTTTGGTAGCTTTTACTTCCCAGGCCATACTGACGAAGAATTTCTGAATGATATATGACATGTACACCACGAAAAACGATGTTACTCAATTCCGTCGGTCTGTCTGTCGCTCTGTTCGCTAATCCTTGGACCGCATATAACTTGGAAAGTGCTGCGATGAGATATGGATTAAATTTTCACACAAGGTTACTACTATGCCAAGGATGAGAAAGTTTGTTAGTTTCTAGCGGCGACGGAGAAAAACGAATAGAGTAAAAATCGCTCAAACTTCGTGATTTGACGATTCAGAGAGGGTAAAAAAAATTTCGTGTTGGGGGTTGAAGGGTGGGCGGGGAGATGTATATATCAATTTTTTTATGTTAGTATATGTATACGCTCGCAACCTTGGTAATTGGACGCATCTATTTTAGACATGTTTCAGACATCATAGATTTCCCCATACATTTGCCCTTAAAAATTAGAAACACATTCAGATCGGATCGCGGTACCTATCGGCCGCGTCTGCTTCTGCTCCGACAGCGTGCCGGTCTTGGTAAGTGTTCTGGTATTACTGCCGCGTCCGACTGTTGATCGAGTTAGGTATTAGGGATGGCAACGTTGTCAGGTAGACTACCGGTAGGGCAGGAAAAGAATGTCTATGGACTAAGTGTACGGACCTGTTTGACTGACTTTTTTGCAGAAGGTCAACCTTGTGCGAAACATAATCCTTCATGAACTAATGATGGCGTTGCGTGGGAAGTCAACCTATTTGACGCCATGTTTTGTGGTGTTTAACCCATAACTAGGACATCCAGCGCTGCATAGAAGCATGTGCCACTTCGCGTTGTTATTTACTTTACGGGTGGCTTGTGCAGACTTAGCTTTGTCCCAAAAATATTTCATGAATATTGGGATGTCCATTACATTAGTGTAATGATACAATTCATCGAATTTAGCTTCAGATTCACGCAAATTCAATTATAATATGACCGAATCATAGCAATGTTACTTTAGTTACTTCCAGTAATTGATTAATGAATTTTTGTGATTAAGCCACCAATATTATGTATGAAATTATGTTTTATGTAATACAGGATCAGCTTTAAAATATGAATTTACTTCCAATAAGTATAAATATGTTGAATAATTTAGTGTATCCCCTCCTGTACTACACTAAGAAAAATAAGATATCAATTAAGTACATTGTTTCAAATTTTAGAATGCGATTAGAAGAAAGTGATAATTATGATAATTGTAGTAAAGCTCTAAATTGCACATTCACTCAAAAATTTGTCATTTAACAGAAATTTCAAATGTTAATCTTTAAAAATAAATAATGGAAAATGTCCTTTCAGAAATTCAAAACAATGCACTACACCCAAATAATAAATGATGGCGAACCTAATAGGAGATGTTCTCCAAGTTTTGGTACTCGGATTTTTGTAATAAACAAAAAAAAATTATGCGATCGAATGCTACACCACACAAGAGATGTAAAATATTTCCTTACGTCACATAAGAAAATTAACATAACGGTAGAAAAATAGACATGCCAGCATCAGCTGCATTCATCCAATTCTGAGTTGGTCGATTTTTTATTTCATTTTTGGCGTTATTTTAAATTTTTTATGTGGCGTAAGGAAATATTTTATATCTAAATTTGGAACATTAAATATAAGTTACAATATTAAGCGAAAACAAGATCTTAAATTAGTAGTACCTAAATCAATACTTGTGAAAGACTCAATAATTTATAGTGGTCTAAAAAGTTACATATGTATGTATCCCTGATGCTATAAAAAACAATTTAGGGATATTCCGCCGTGAAGAAGATGCTAAATAATGTTGAAACGTCGGCTTTTTGAGAAAGACACATCCTTGAGCACCTTACATTGTTTATCCCAATAATCCGAACACCAAGTCTAGGAACACGTTTGAGTTACTAGGAGAAGAACTAATATTTCTATTGCATCAAGAATAACATAATTCATTCGAATCACAAACTTAACTGTGTTATACTATTTTTAAATTCCAAATGGATTTCATGAATCGCGCTTTTCTATTAATGATACCTTTATATCATGATGCTGTTGATTCGAATGAAAAAGTTATCATAAAAACATAACATAACGCTCGCTCGTAATGTTAAAGCAACACAATGGCAAAGAGAAAATAAGGTCATTAAGAGTGGATATGATGGTATCGAAAAATTTACCTAGGTCATGCTAAAATTATTGAGATTTATAACACAACTATCGATATTTCAAGCAAAGTCGCCTCAGGAGAATATCTTCAAACTTATAGACATTGCCAATGACAGAGTTTCTAAAACAAACTAGCATGACTTAGGTATTTTTATTTGATTGGACATATCCGAATGCGATAATCTGTCAATTGACAGGTACCTATAGCAGTAAGATAAATGATTGAAAATTGGGCAAAATAGAATGTATAATTCAGCAGCTCCTATGCCATATTATATTTTTATCCGTGAAATCAATAATGTCAGTCATTTAACAACTTGTTTTGAGGTTCTACCATACAAATTAAAAAACAAGAAACTGATTATTGATCAAAATAAGCGGTCAATTCATGGGCGCTCACAGGTGTAGGAGGCCGTGCTCGTGTGAAAAAATTAATGATTAATCTTATAAATCTAAGCAAGGATTTATAGAAGCTCAACCTTGATATTTACCATTTTTTGTCAATGTTCAATGTTTACGGTAGAACTATATCAGCTGAAACTACATGTCAATGCCTTTGATGAAGAATACATTATTATGTATACATGATGGAAGTATGTTTGCTTATCGCATACTAAAGAAGAGATATTGTAGACTATGAACGAATATGCATCACTTTAACTACTCTCGAATGGTTGTCAGTTACTTGCGAGAAATTTGTAGAATATTTGTATGAAAATTAAATTAATTTCAAATGACGTCACCTTAGTTTTTTTTTTAAAAATGTAAATTGAATTAACAGCAACTTTATCCTGACATGCAGTCTGAGATCGGAAGTGATACAGCCAAGGGATATTATATTATGATCGATATTAAATCACTTAATTTGCAGAGATTAATTTTAGTACAGCACACTTACTTGCATCGCGTTCTTTCCATCCTAAATACGCGTTAGCACGCAGCATGAACAAATAAACCATCATTTGATAAAACTACCAAGAATACAAACCAGGAAGAAGCTTATATTTGCAGTGAAATTTGGATTGAACATTTATAGAACAGCACACACTGAATGGTACACTCAGTTTGAGCAATATTATACTTATGCGCTAGCTGCATCTTCAATTGCATAAAGAGAAGTATGCAGAAATCACACTAAATAACAATTAGATGAAAAGTGTAAATTTTTGTATGTGAGCGGGATGTTTATTCACGATTATGTTCAGCTAAGGTGAAAAACAATGATTTTCCTAGGTTTTACCATAATTATATTAGCGAATGGTTTTCATGTAAGCTCACATGCCCAGTAAAAACAAATTTTGCATTAAATGATGTATTTCAAAATAAAATAATTCTACATTTACTATACATGGTGGTTAAAAAACAATGGCAATATTTCAAGGGCAGATGGTAGATCCCAAAATAACATAAAAAGGTCCGGAAATACCTAGTTACCGAGATACATTTACTACATCTTTAGTTAAGGTACTTCGTTCACACTACATAATCTGACTCTCTTGAGAAATTTTTGTCGGGACCTAAGCTTTTGATGTTATATTATATTTTGGATGTACTATCTACTCTAAAAAAGATACAGCACCTCTTCAATGTGTGTAAAGCTGAAGCAAAATCTGGATCGATAACAGCACCAACTCAAAACATCACCTTCAAATTGATCCCTTATCTCGCAGTGAATACTTAAACATGTTCCGCCTACAGTTGAGTTGAGATACATCGAGAAAAGCTCACCTAATTTACTAGACACACCATCCCTGTTGGCCCGGTGACACCTTTCTGCTTCAAATACTTCTTTCCTGAAGCGAGGGTCAGGATCTACAGGTGGATACAGTGATTCTGGTTGTTTTTTGAATATGATCTGTGAAAATAAAACGTAGATATTAAGTCAATATTATGGCCAGTATAAAAATATATATTTTATTTTATTCTTTATCTAATGTTTACGTCAAAAAAGCTATTTCTGCCTGAATGAAGCAGAGTTAAACTCAGTCAGAACTCAAAAAGTATATTTACAGCTGTTGTCGATAGCACATGGTGTGACTGATAAGTTGTTTGAATCTGGATTTAAAAAACCTCGATATTTACTTTCAAGATTTTCGAAGAATGATCTCTCTTTTGGAAATCAACCGTTTGCGAAAATACTCTAAGAACTTCAGGTTTTCAGTTAGATTAATGGAAATGAGTTTTTTACTTCTCATGAAATGGCTCTTTCAAGTGAAATTTGAAAGGTTCAAAACAGCTATTACTTACCTTCATGACTGTGTATGTGAAGAAAATAACGATACCAATGGTATAAATGGGCATAATCAGACCTATGCTTCCAGTGCCCTGTTTTGGAGGAGGTACTACATGTCCAGGACCGCCCATTGTTGGCCTCATAGCAGGGATTGGTCCAGGCTGTAAAGTCGAAATATGTGACTTTCAGTGTTTAGTGCATTATTACTTCAATATAATTTATAGATCTTTTCACGGTTCTTGGCTGATCACATTTAAACCACAGGAATTACTTTTATACAATCATCTCTCTCACGCATACATATGCAATTGTCCTTCATGAGCAGACGTTTGTTTGTGTATGCTTTTGTCTCTCCGCCTTGGAAAATTTTCTCGTCAGCGTATCTTCCACATTTGGGCTAGTCATTGTCAGTATGACGACTGGCATGAACGTGCAAGTTTACGTTTTGTTGGTCTTTGACATAAAGCACAGCGTTGCCTGATGAAGATACAACTACAATGTCGACATTCTGTGTTTTTTCCGTTCCGGGCGCCGTCTGTCCCAAGTCCCCGATGGCACTGCAGCCTCTAGGGCTTATTATGCCTTGCTCCTCCAGTTTACAGTACTCAATCCAGCAGTCTGAACCAGTTGGTACAGTTTTCCTGTCAGTACTGTTCTAATCTCCATTATCTCAAGTTTTAGTTTTCTGAAGAGTTGATGTCATTTGTAATCTAGTGCGTCGCTCTCATATAAGACATGAAGGGCTGATTCTGTTCCTTTTCCGTATCGTCTGCTGCTAAGATCTCCATCGTACAGCCGTATTGTGCTCAGGTGTTCTTTCAGGCCATTCTTTCCCATGCCACAGTCTGTGTTAAATCTACTGGAGATGTGTAAAAACAATGGTGCTAAATCATCCAATTCATGAGTGTGTGCAAGAGCGAGTAGCTGTTGCATCAAGGATGGGCCTGTGCATTGTGAAGTCTCCCTTAGGGAAGCTAAACTCCGTATGTAGTAGAGTTAGTTAATCTGTTTACTTATTTCGTATGGCTTTGTGTCTGCGCCGCCAAAAACAGCGAAAAGAACTATATTAGGCAATCCGTTTCAACTTCTGAACTGTTTTTTTTATTACCTGGGATTCTAAAGAATATATTATCTATTTTCATGTAAAAAAAACATTGGCTATAGAATAACGACTGGGCACTTGAGAGGGCGATGTCAAAAAATCAAATTTGAGTACAAACGTATTTGCAGGAGAGTGACGATAAACAGCCCTGCTGTCGAACATTAATTGATCCTTAAATTTATTGAGGTGTATAAGTGCTATGGGTGGATGCCCAGTCTTATTCAACAGGTAATTGAGTCTGATGATATACCCAGATATCGTTAGACCCGTAATGACTTCATGTCAGGGATATACATATTAGATCAAGGTGCTAAATTTTCAGGAAATTCAATTGACCTCCAAAAAGTCCATGTCCTTTGGACTGGATTTTGGGATGGTTGATCTATGTAATGGGATTTAAAAATACTGCAAGCCCGCTAGATGACCCAGTGACTCAAAGCATCTGACAACCTCTATCTGTCTGAATCACACATTCCCATAACAAGAAGCTAAGAATAGTTTCTTAACTCTCAAATATGCATGTATCTCGGCATATTTTTGTTATATACAAACGTTTTAAAATACAGAACATACAATCAATCCATTATTTATCTGCGAATCCGCTAAATGTACCCGAAACGACAGTTATAAATAACTTGGGACGCGTTCCAGCTGCCAGCGTATAAAATGCCAATACACATAACATTATTCGCAGCAATATGCTTCAATGAGCGGTTAGATGCAAAGCAAACTACACTAAATATTTATAGTTTAGCAAAATAGATTAGATGCCAATGATGCTTGTATACCTTGTATAATGAGTACATCGGATCACTATTAGATACCCACTGGTGCTCGTAATTAGAATGACATTAATAGAATCCTATCACAAAATGAGTCATGGTTTCGAACAATGTGTTAATCATAAACAATTTTTTAAAGAGATTATTGCGGTTATTTATATATCAAGATAGGCTGCGATAGAAGGACTTGGATGTGCTTCCGGACTGTTCGGGCCCTCTTATTGCGGCAGGGGACTACAACTGCAAGCACCGATCATGGCACTCAAGGCTTAACTCTACTTGTGGGGTTCGGTTTAACAACCATGTGATGCGAAACGGGTATCTTATTCGCAGCACCGAATAGGGCGACACACCATCCTTTCAATCACCTTAAGGCACCAAATGTTATGAACTTTGCAATATCTAAAAACTGCAGATTCAGTATTGCTTCTAGGATCTTGTATGACATCTCTAGTGACCATCAACCTGTTGGTCTGGAGGTAGGTAATGGCCATTTCGTGGAGGAGGAAACTCCTCCAAGGAAAAGAGCTGATTGGGAACTATACAAGTCATTTCTCAAAGAGTTTCCCAGTGTCCCGGTCATATATGATGAGAACGGAATAGATGCTGCTTAATCGGAGTGGACAACTTTCGTTCACCAAACTCTACAGCGTGCTGCTGTGCTTCCAGTGCAGTGACACGGCAGACCTATTCTTCCTACTGACATTCGTCAGAAAATTTCTGAAAAGAGAGCTCCGATTAAGCAAGCAAAAAGGTCTTGTCATCTCGATGACATTCGTGGAGCGACGAATCTAGTCCATGAAGTGAGAAATGCACTCCATGAATTCAGCAATGAACAGTGGAGTGACTTTCTGGCGGGGATGCTTGGCTCAACTATTCCCCTCCGGAAAGTGGCAAAATCGCTCAGAAACGGAAGGCAAGAACAACTACCACACATCCATGGTCCTGGAGGCATAGTTTTCAGGACTGGAGGTGTTTGCTGACGTCATGGAAAGGCAGTTCTCTCCCAATTATGATCTGGACAATGACCTTGACGAGGAACAACAAATTGTAAAATCTATCAGGAGATATTTAGAGCAAATGATGACAATAACATCAGTGACTCCTTTTCAAAAGATTCTTCTGCGGAAGACTCTTCAGATGAATCTCTGCACAGCACGTCAGCGGAATCCGCGGTGATTCAGTTTTGCACACCAGCAGAGCTCCAAGGCCACATTAAGGACCTAAAGGAGCGTAAACCGCATAGAGAGGCTTTAACTTATCTGGTGGCAATAATCAATGCAATGCTCAGAACTCTGTGCTTTCCTAAGGCGTGATCCCAAAGAAGATAGGTTCGATATTCCCCCAGAATAACCATCCCATAAGACTGCTGTCAGCTCCTTATCCTTATGATCTATCGTCACCTTGAAATTTTCTCTCAGATCACCATGTGATTCCTGACGTCCAATACGGCTTTCGGTCTAAGCATAACGTATGTCCTACTTACTTTACTGTGAGTTAACATTTAATTATTTTTGAAGTTTTCGTTTTAAGATTTATAAATTAGAAATATGAAAAAGTATCTACAAGTTGGTTGGGCGGGTACCCAAAGCGGAAATCTGTCGAATATTCCAGAATGGAAACATTTAACGCAGAACCATTTATGGAACAATAGCGGCGTGCGAGCAGGGAATACCATATCTGAATCTACCAAAAAGTGGAAGACCACGAGCATTTACTGTACAGAGGAGAATGAGATTGGTGAGAAGAACAAAAAAAACAGGTTGTAATGTCAACAAGGAGACTGGCTCGTCAATACAGATCTTCTAAGAGTACGATATTGTAGAGCAGAATGGACCAATCCACATAATTCGATAGTATAGTTTAGTTAAGTCTTCAGGGGTAATTTATGATAACCAGTTAGTGTTTAAATAAATTTCTTCATTAAAACAAATCCGATAAATATTTTGTGCCAAAACTTTTAGGACATACGTTAGTACGGAGCTACAGACAGTTGGACTGGTGGAGAATTTAACCAGGGGATTCACCCTCAAAAAAAGTACTGGTATCTTGCATTTAGATGTATCAAAGGCATTTACAAGTTGTGATACATGGGCCTCTTGTATAAGTTCATCCAAAAGGGCTTTCCATGTTGGCTACTAAAACTGCTGAAATCATTTCCAGAAGAAAGGAAGTTTCGGATCAAAATTAACAATGGTTTGTCAACAACACGGCCCGTAAGAGCCGATGTCCTCAGGGTTCTGTCTGAGGACCATTCCTTTATTCCCTTTTTATATTTGTATATGACGTCCCTTGCCCCAGCATCTGTGAAGTCTATCTCTATACTTCGAAAACGTAGGAAATCTATTGTACTAAAAAACGGTGCCCCATCAGAGATATCAGTGATTGGAACTCGTATACATGGGAATAATCTGTCAGGTATCTTGGAGTCATCATTGACAAGGGGTTGACCTGGCAGAAATATACTGATATTTTGGAAACAAAATTCGAAATTACCTTTCAGCAGCTATCCTTTGTTGTCCAGAAATTCAAAATTAGGTTTGATGAACAAAATTCGGTTGTATAAAATGGTCATAAGATCCGCAATTACCTACGCATGCGCATCTTGGTTGTTTTCTTGCCAAGGCGCACATGCACGGACTGCAAGTCCTGCAAAACAGAACTCTACGCACAATCACCAACGCCCCATGGTACGTGTCAAATGCGACCTTTCACAGAGATCTTGGTATCCCATATCTAAGGGATTCTGTAAAATAACAGGCACAGTGGCGTTATAATCAAGCCGAATCTCACAGCAACCCTCTCTTGCGTGATTCAGTAGACTACACAGTCGTGCAAGTTCGCAAACATGCCAGGCTGCGCTTCGCACTGTGATCAAAATTAAATTGTGAATTTCAGACCAACCAAAATTATTCGAGTTGTCAAAACAATAATGCTTAAGCTATTTTAAATTCTTTACTTCTTGTTTGGTATCTGGTTAGCCAGACCTGACAGACTAACAGACCGACGAGACTTATAACTAAGAGCAACCGTCCGTCGGACCGCTCTGAGGATCAATGACGAATAGTATGATGGCTTCACCTATGCCAACGAATTTTTTGACGAAGTTGTATTTTTATCCAAATAAGCCGCAATCGAGTCACTGAAAATTGCACTTGTTAAATTTGGGTGACTATGCGAACCGCGGTGAACATTTGATCGACGTTAGATTCAATAGAATTTCATTTATACCTCATACTAACGGTGTGCTATTCCATTTTAAGATCGAGCCGTCCAGTTTATACCCTTTACAGGAAAATTATGTCAGGTGAAACAGCAAAGGCCGCTGAAGATACCGAACTATCGAGCAACAGGTAGGTCACAGTTATCAGAAAATAAAATGCTACTTAAACATTTTTGGAATGGCCGGTATTATTTCAGCTTCCAAGAGAGGTTCGATTTAATTTTGTTCGCGGTGCGAGCCGCAACGTGATGAATATGGAAATGATCAACTGTTTAGTCTAGTGTCAAGGGAAATAAGTAGTAAGTGAGCAAATCTTACTCATGCAATAGATCACAGTATGTATACTATAAATGATACAATTAACATATACTGTAAACTCAGGTGTTCCACAAGGATCAAACTTAGGCCCACTACTATTTAATATTTTCATTAATGATTTGAATAATGTAATTGAAACCCGGAAATTGTTTTGTGCTGACGATCTTGAAGTCTATTGTGAAATAACTGCTATAGAAGGTTGTGAGAGGTTACAGGTCATGCTCAACAAAGTTCATGTATGGTGTGCTAATAATAGATTGTCACTGAACGTTGCAAAGTGTAAAGTAGTCACTTTCTCTAGGAAAAAAGCACCAATCTTATTGATTACAACATGATGGTTTTGGAGAGTCATTTAACCACTAAAGATCTATTAAGTACCATTTGATTCGCAAATCAGTTTCGTTAATCATATGATAACAAAATTGCTGAAGCATAAAACATGTATGTATGGATTCATTGTTAGAAATTGTTGAACTTTTAATAGTGAAGCAGCATTGAAATGTCTATTATTTTCTTATTTATGCTCTAAATTGGAGTACTGTTCGAATGTCTGGAACCCATACTATCAGTGTCACAAGAAAAGACCGAATAAACTACAAAGCTTTTGATATATCTAGTGTTTAAAAGCACCATATATATCCAGAACAAGGAACTGAGTATAATCATTTGTTAAATCTTTTTGACATTGACAGTTTGGAGCTCAGACGGACACTGTCATCCCTTTTATCCTTCATAAACTGATGTAAGGTGATGTATTAAATTTAACGTACCGCAGACAATCATTTACATTTTATTCTACTACTGCTAGGGCAAATCTAATGTTGAAATCACCATATCAGCAATGTGTTCACATTATAATACGAGGGATGTCTTTAAAGTTTTGGATATGGAAATAAAACAACACGGTAGGTAGTTTTAAATTACTTTATTGTTTTTCGAAGTATTCTCCACGAAGATTAATACACATCTGCATGCGCTCGAACCAATTTTCGAAGCACTTATTCCACTCGTTTGCTGGCAGATCCAAAACGGCATTTTTGAATGCGTCAACTGCTTCTTCTGGTGACTGGAACCTTTGACCACGCAGTCTGTTTTTAATTTTCGGGAAAGTAAAGAAATCGTTAGGACTTAGATCGGGACTATATGGAGGATGGTCCAATAATTCCACGTTTTCTTCCGTTAAATACTGCATTGTTTTTTGGGCTGAGTGCGAGCTTGCATTGTCTTGGTGGAGGATGATTCTTATTTCGGGGTTGATTTTTCGAAGTTCGCTGATGACTTTTGGCAAACAAATGATAGTATACCAATCCGCAGTAACATTTATTTGCTCATTAAGAGGAATTGTTGCAATATGACTCACTTTTGACACAAATGCCGCGACCATCTTTTTCGAAACACTTCGAGAACGGATGACTTTTGTTGGCTTTTCTTCACCTTGGAACACCCAAACAGCCGACTGTCGTTTATTTTCTGGTTCCTAACAGTAAATCCACGATTCATCACCACTAACAATGCTGTACACTTTTTTTGAGTTTCCGGAATTGAAACGGTCAAGCCTTTTTTGACACCAATTAACCCTGGCTGCTTTCTGCTCTTCAGTCAACAGGTGGGGTATCCAACGAGAAACTAATTTTCTTACTCCTAATTCTTCATGTAAATTTTTTTTAATTGAGGTCTTTGAGATCTTCAAGGACGCCTCAATCTCGCGATATATCACATGTCTATCTTCAATGATGTGTTTGCGCACAGCATCGACGTTTTCCTGGGAGACTGCCGTTTTTGGTGCACCCACCCTGGGGTTGTCGCTAAGACTCACCCGTCCACGTTTGAATTCTCGACACCAAAACAGACAGTAACTCAGCAAGGCATTCTTGTTGCGATAATTGTCTCTGAAAGTTGTAATAAATTATGGCGCGAAAATGTTCTCGGTTGAGTTCCATTTTTCTAATGACTTGGTGACACTTAAAAATTCACTGCAGTGAGAACAGTGGACGTATTGTTGTGAAACTTTGAATTTAAGTTTACTAAAGAGTGAGGTTAAGATTCAGTACTAACATTCGATCTGCGCAGCCTACTATGTTTCTATATGCAAAACTTAAGTGACATCCCTCGTAAGATATCGCAGCACATAGACATAGTTAACTGTGAACTCAAGGAACTCAAGTGTGCTGCTAAGAATATGTCACAATAATTATACATGTGGATAGTATAGTTTTTTATATTGCTGTGTAAAAGGATCCTGTATCTGTTGGGCAATAAATGTTGTTATTATTATTATTTTAATTATTAAGTTGTCTTACCCTTCCCTCAACAACCCTTTTTGCTGCAACGAAGCGTGAAGGAGGGGATGTGGTTGTTTGAGGTATGGCCCTGCCTCTCTCTTTGAATGCTGGATGTACCATCTCTGACCTCAGGTGTGATGGCCTCTCTTGCCTGATACCTGGATAGAACACAGAATCAGTTGCTATATTATGTGCATCTGTTATATAAATTTTAGGTCATCTTTGAAGGACTGTCATAATTAGAAAATTTAGAGTCAAGCAAATCGACAGGGTACTTTCTACGCATTTTGAAGGCACCCGAAAACAATAAGACTCTCCTAACTCACCCGCCGACTACTGACAAATTCCTCTACAAATATTTTTGGTAAATGATCAGGTACTTAATAAATTGCCCAATGACTTTTGATCCATATGTATAATTTTTATTTTACAAAACTGCTCAACACGACTAGTTTTTGGTCGAGTACTCCACCGATATGCACTGGTGATTATTGCAATACTGATACTGGTGTAGGGTAATATCAATAATTCTGCAGGAACAAAACCAGTGTAGGATTTTTGACACCTCATCTGCCTGTTATTCATCACTGCCTGTTTGAGCAGTATGTAGAACCTTTGCTCTTGGTCAAAGTATTGTGGTTCACTCAGGTCTGGTTAGCCAAACAACAGACAATATTGGGAAGGGAGAAATGAAGAAGGAAGAAAGGGAAGACGAAAGAGGAGGCACTGTGCCTTAGTATTGTTAAAACTTAAAAAACGTATTCCAGAATTTTAGATTGATCTAAAATTGATCTAGAGATTGGTTGTTGTGGGAAATTGATAATTTTGAGTGGACCTAAAACCACACGATTTAATTTTGTTTACAGTGCGAACTGTAGTCCTATGCGCTTGTGCACTTCCTCAAACTCAAACAAAAGCTGAATAGGAAAAAGCCAATTGTTAAATGAAAAGACTAGGCAAGTTGTGTTCTCTACGAGACAACTAAAGATCGAAAATAAAGACCAACTTAAATTTTTAGGTGTGACACTTGACCCTAAGCTCCAATGGACAGTCCACATTGAGGCCCTAACCATAAAACCATAAAACTTCCTCAGAATATCCATATCCTCCATAACTTATTGCGAGAAGTGTCGCCAAATATACTTCGTATTTGTTACTTCGCACTATTCCAGTCGCACATAGCATATGCATTTATTGTATGGGGCTATTCTACTGCGGCAGTTAGAGTGTTTGGGCTGAAGAGGAGGGCTGTTAAATTGATGACAGGGCTCAAATACAGAGATGATTGCAAGCATGTGTTTATTAAATGGAGGCTGCTGACTGAGATAAGTCTGTATGTGTATGAATGCTTGATGCTTGCCAAGACAAAAGGAAGATCTACACCAAACCTTCGAAGATGTTCACGAATATAATACCAGAAATTAGAGAAATTTGATCCCTATATGTTGGCTATTGACAAGGTGTCAAGATAGTACAGGATTCTGGGCATTTAAATGTTTCAACAAATTGCCACTAAATTTAAGATCACTGCCTTTAAATGATTTTAAGAATTGTAATAGAAATTTTTGATCCAAAATGCATTTTACAAAATCGATGATTTTCTGAATACTGATTTTAGCGTGTTGTAATAGTTCAAAACTTTTAAGTGAGTGGCTTTCATGCTATATGATGAGATTTTTTGTCTTCCATGTTATGACCATCGTAAACAACTTTTTGTATTAGCATTAATAAGTAAATAAACTTGAATGAAACTATTTATACATACTCTACTGACTTGTGCAAGAAAGAGTTGCACTGCGATGGTATCTTATTTGATTGATGTACAGGCCAATTAAGAATTGAGGTACTGTATCTGGGAACCTATCCATAGTAGAGGCTTGCAACAAAAAGAGTTCTCACTAAAACGGCCAATAAAATAAACCTGGAAAACATTTTCAAGTTTCTGAAATGGCCGCTAGGGGGCGTAACTGGAATCTTCAACCTAATAAAGTGATGTCTCTGTGAATTCCGCTATATTAACGTAACAAAAAAATTTTAGTCAAGGATAATATAATCTTTTTCTGTTTGACAATTTTTGCTATATCTCTAAAAATGAAGTGGTGGGAGGTATTCAAAGGTTTCCGTAAAAAAAACACCGTGTATCTTCGACACATCTTAGCCGATTTTAACAAACTTGGGCTAGTTGAAAAGAGCTATTCTTGGAGTAGAAATGCTATACTCGTATTATATAAAGTTTTGTTAGTTTCACATGTGGCCGCTAGATGGTTTTTTTCGACATTCCGACAGAAATGGTTAATTTTCTCAAAAAATTAAAAGCATTGATATGATTTTTTTATGGAAAAGTAGCTAAATGATGTCTAAACAAGCTCGCGAAAACCGCAACTCGATATCTTGTTCCTAACCTAAAATTGAGGCCAAAGAAAATTTGATACAGAAATCCCTTAAATTTTCATTTTTTTAAAGTAATTTTTCTGGAAATATTTTTTATTCATCAGAATAAAATCACCCTTTTTGAAAATATTACAAAAAAAGGTAAGTAAATAATGCTAATAACAAAAGACATTTTTTATTTAAATGCATATTCACTATGGGTATATATGACAAAGACAATTAATAGAAGCAGGCCATAGAAGAAAACAAAACAAATACCTAATCAAAGCATAAATAATCCTCAAATTGTCAATAGTTGTCAATAGTTTCGCGTTACTATAATCTGTGGCGTTACTTTGCGCAATTTTTGTGCTGACCAAATGTGTTTTACGTACAACGAAGCTGTTGATATGCCTGCATTCTTAGTTGGCCACCCTGTACATCTGTGATGTATATGTTCCACTTATCACAATTCTGCAGTTACAGATCATTAATTTTGGAGCGAGTGCAAAAAATGTAGATTTAAAGAAATGGTTGAAACTAAAAACCCTTTTAAGGTTATCACAATACTTTATTGTGCATGGTTTTTTGTGCAACATTTTTATCAACGGATCACAATTGTCAAAATAAAATGCGCGCAGCAAATAAGTCTGATAATGCAAAGTGTGTAAATAATGCACAAGTCCATGTTAAAGTGTCCTTCATCCTCATCAGGGAACCCTTGAAATAATCAAAAAATCAAGAATTGAGTAGTTTAGAAGCCTATGGTTATGTCATTAATATCATAAATAAAAATGTTGACTTACTAAGTTGCTGGCAATTGAAAATTGAAGAGCCTGGGGGGGTTGCTTAAGCACTTTATGGACCTGAGTATCTAGCATTGTGAAACACTCCAAAATGACGATAATTCAGGGAAAAAATTAGTACAATGGAGTAGTCGAAAAAATAAATAAAAATGAGAATCATGGGCTCATGGACACCCTTACCCACAGTAGAAATCTCATTAATTCAAGCCAGTATTTTTTCAATTAAACATTACAGCTTCATGGACTGAATATATATATATATATATATATATATATATATATATATATATATATTTTGAGACGTGGTCATTGTCGTCTAGACCAGTTAGGTGAAAAAATTAAAGCTTCCGCTTTTTGTTGGGTACTTCGACAAGATTTAAGCAAAGAGGACTCTTTATACTTTTTTTAATTCTCTCTAGCTTTCAATGGACTTTGCCATCATCATCAGGAGCTGTAATTACAATGATAACAGTAGCAACAAAGGTGTAAAATGAATTTAAATTGACTCAACTTACAGTAGTATGTGAGAATGTTGCTAATTGTTGTTTTCGTATAGGATGAGGGAAACGTCCAGTAACATGGTGAGAGCTGAATAGGTTGCACAATAGTCAAAATTTATACAAAACATGACAGAAACACGTTAAAAACAGATTAAAAATTATTTTAAAAAATTAGAACATTACATCGTGAAACCACCTGATGATTGCACAAATTAGTGGTCATGGAATGATGAATTGATGAGTGACATGAAACCCTTTGACAGAAGGCCGAAGGATGTCAATGTCAGTATTGAAAGATGGAACGAATTGTGGGCGTGTGCCAAAAACGTTGCCAAATCACTTCAGATGAAGAGATTTTCAGAATTTTATGATGGAATTTGTTAAACCGACCAGAGGCAGTTGAATAAACTATATTATTATTAATGGGAATTTAAATTAACAATTATTAATAAATCGTGAGGAGAGAATTATTATATTTTGAGTGGAATGAAATTTACTGGTGGAACCGGCCAAAACACAGATTCTAATTATGGTTGTGAAGAGTTGAAATTTGGGGAGATATGTAAGTTCTCCAATTTTTCGCAGTTTAGCAAATATGAGTAAATGACACTCAGTTGTTTAACATCTGTCTTTTTGTTGATACAGTTGTTATTCATGAAAATGTGGGACATTTCCAGGAATAAACGTTTGGAAAGGTGTTTTTCTTTATCAAGAACTTTGATACTTGTGTAATTCATAGAATGCCCTGTTGTGTTAACATGAGATGCTAGAGCGCATCTTTCAGGATGAAGCCTAGCATCACTTTTGTGTGATGTAATCCTTCCTTTAAGAGATCTGGAGGTCTGACCTATGTATATTTGGTTGCAGTTGTTGCAATTGATGGAGTAGACTGTGTTGGTTAAGCCAAGCAGCGGGACTTTGTCTTTCATTTTTGAAAAAATGCAGTTTATAGTGAGGACGGATTTGCAAGCAATTCGAAAGTTCAAAGGACTGCACAATCTGATCAGCTTAGGGGTCAGTTCCTTGATGTAGGGCAGGACAGCAAAACCAGGTCTGGAGTCCGGGTTGGTGCTAGTACTGTTAGGATTGATGTTATTATTGGGAATTACATCAGTTCCGTTATTAGGGGTTGTGCGACTATTACCTGCATCACCAGAGTTCGGCAAAATATTGGAAGGTGAACTAAAAATGATCTTGTTAATCAGACACTTCGGATAACCATTATTGATGAACAGTTTTGATAGTTTACGTAAATTTGAGGTGTGGAAGGTATTATCTGAGATGCTGATTACCCTTGTTTTCATCTGTTTTACCAAATTGATTTTAATCCCTAGCTTATGGTATGACCTAAAATTGAGAAACCGACCTGAGGCCATAGGTTTCTGGTACCAGTCTACCAATAAACTGTTGTTGTTGGTGCGAATGAGTCTTGTGTCTAGAAAGGGGACAGACAGGTTCTCATCTTCTTTTTCAATGGTAAATTGGATGTAGGGGTCATAGCTGTTGAATTCTCTGACAATACCATCCAGACCTATGGAAGGGAGGCATAAAATAATGTCATCTACGTATTTTTTTATGAAGAAGAGGTTATAGGGTAGTGTCGGAATAACTGTATCAAGCAGATCATCCATGACATATTCCGCCAAAATTGGTGACAGAACAGATCCCATAGGACAACCATGTGTTTGAGAATATATTTTGTTGTTGAAAGAGAAATAATTGTTATGAAAAAGGAATGTTATAATGTTGGTGAAAGATTCTAGAGATATGTTGCAGTGTTGACTTATCTCATTCCAGTGTTTATTAATAGTTCTTGTACATGCATCCAGATAGATGTTGCTGAATAGCGACACCACATCAAGACTGGCGATAATATGATCGGCTGGTATTGTCAATCTATTGAACTGACGAGAGACCTCAAATGAGTCTTTGATGTAGTAATCATTGTCTGCATGTGCTGATTTTAGTGTTGTCGATATTAATGAAGACAAAGCCTGGGTGGCTGAACCTATTGATGCAACTATAGGTCTTACTGAGAGTACAGGTTTGTGAATTTTCGGAAGTGCATAAAATTTGGGAGGGACAGAGTTATAAGTAGTCAAAGTTCTTTTTTGTTCTTGGGTTATTTGTCCAGTGCTGAGGAGTTCCTTAACAATGTCATTACTTTTCTTTTCCACTTTAAGTGTGGGATCTTTATTAATTTCATGATATGATGGGTCATCATTGATGAGATTGTTGCAAAGATCTAAATAGTGTTGTTTAAGCATTATCACTGTAACATTGCCTTTGTCAGATCTTGTAACCATAAGTTCAGGATGTTGTTTTAGAAATGTTCTAGTTATGTTTAAAAGGTTGTGATAAAAGGAATGTTTTTTATTAAGATTATTATTATGATAGTAGTTAGTGATGAGGTTAGTGGAACGAGTTGTGAAAATGTTTCTTTCAGTGTCATCACTTATGGAGGATGCTATTGTGTCTACATCCGCTAAGATTGATCTGATTGGAATGTCATTGTTAACAATCGGCTCTACACTGAACTTGGGCCCTAAGGAAAGAAATTTTAATATGTCATGAGGGATGTCAACGTTACTGAGATTTTTTATCCAATTTTGTTGAGTGTTGAGGAAGGTTTTTTTGGTGTCATTCAACAATCTGTCAAACTTACGAGTGTTGGAGTTTTTTATGTTATGAAAGATTTTATTGTAATGTCTGAGTTGTCTATATTTGAAATTATCAAAAATTAAGGGAGAAGTGGAAGAAATTATGTCACTTTGGAGTGAATTGAGTATGGAATGAAGTTTTTTTCAACTGTCTGTGGCAGGAAGATATCTCAAGCGTGAGTATTTTGTCACCTAACCTGTGCAGACGATTTTTCATCCCATCTTCTATTGAATGGCTTTCTAGTAAGTGTGTGATTGATGTTAAACGGTGGGTGATGTGATGTGGTGTAATGCCATGTTTTCTACATTTTAATAAGAAAATCCGTCGATTGATCTCCTGTGCCAGTCGTTTTCTGCCCTTGATCCAGTCCTTCATCATTCTTACTGCCTGGTTCCCATGACGTTCTGTGATGTTATTGAAAAACCCCAAATCTGTGGATGTAACTATATATATATAAAAAAAGTAGGAAAATAATGGGGACGGTCCGCAAAAAGGAGTAAAGTGGATTCGAGCAGAAAATAGGATAGGTAACCTGAGAGATACGTATTTCTGCTGGTTGGCTTCATCAGGCCCGAAATGAATGCACATATGCAACTACAAAAGTAGATACACATGCCCTCACATTCGGATACGGGTGTAACCTGAGGAAACGAAGATGGATTCTAGCCATTTTATACTACAATGTGTAGGTTGGCTCTTGTTGTGGATTTTTTCCCTCACCATTTTCGTTTCCTCAGGTTACACCCGTATCCGGATGTGTGGGCATGCGTATCTACTTTTGTAGTTGCATATGTGCATTCATTTCGGGCCTGATGAAGCCAACCAGCAGAAATACGTATCGCTCGAGTTACCTATCCTACTTTCTGCTCGAATCCACTTTACTCCTTTTTGCAGATTTTGCCCATTATTTTCGTACTTTTTGTTATATACCTTTCTCCGCATGATCATTTTCTCTCTCTCTATATATAAAGGGTGATGCATTTGAAATTTTTGTGAAAAAGTACAATTCGCGTTTTTGACCACCCTGTATGAGCAAAAATGAAAATTCGAAAATGTAACAGCTAAGATAAAAGCTGAGGTGTGTAAATTTTTTTTATACAAAATTCAGCGCTCCAAATTTAAAATGGCGGATTGACGGGTTGCCGAAGTGGACGGTTTTTCTGGACAAAACACCTTACATCTCAGTAGCTAATTACCAAAACCCTATAGTATGTTATATCAATCTTTTAAATTGGTTTATCCAAATATGCAATAAAATTTGAGGCATTCCATTTAAAAAATCACAACTTTGATATGTAGGTCAAAATTGGGACAATGCCAATGTATTCGAAATGTGCCCAATTATTTAAATTTAAATTTAAATAATTTTTAATCTGTCTTTAACTTGTTCTTGTCATATTTTATATAATTTTGAGCATTGTACCATGTATCCAGCTCTCACCATGTTACTGGACGTTTCCCTCATCCTATACGTAAACAACAATTAGCAACATCCTCACATACTACTCTCCTGATGATGATGGCAAAATCCATTGAAAGCTAGAGAGAATCAAAAAAGTATAAAGAGTCCTCTTTGCTTAAATTTTGTCGAAGTACCCAACAAAAGGCGGAAGCGTTAATTTTTCACCTAACTGGTCTAGACGACAATGACCACGTCTCAAGTTATATATATATATATATACATACCTGTTTACTAAGATATTATATATACAGGGTGTCTGCAAAAGGTTGGTAAATCTCGAAACTGGAGATACCTCAGACCAATATATGTGAATTGACCTAAACATACCTGAATCCAAAAGTTGATAGTTTGCGAGATACAGGGTGTCAAAGTTACTATATTATAATCTATTTTTCCTTATTGCTTGGGAATTATTTCAGATTTTGACATAAATCTTGTTTTCTAGTATGAGAATCAAGAATCCGTTATTTTTTATGGCCAAACTTCTACAGGGCGCCACTTACAACACTATTTCGGTAAATAACTTATTATAACTTTTTTGTGCTACCCTGTATACAACAACTGACCGAAAAATCTTATTTTCTCGTATTTCCACAACAAAAAGGTTTACTAGTTAAAAGTGACTAAAGCTAATAGTTCTCGAGATATTTGTTTTTAAAGCATTACATCTTGTCAAACATTAAACATTAAATGCATATCAGAATATTCATCAAACGTATTCTCCATGATGCTTAATAACTTATCGTCAACTTAAAATTATTCATGAAGTTTAAAGCAATATTATGACAAACATTAGAAACCATAGCAACGCTACCCAGATATTATCCAATATCCAAAGCAACTTGATTATTAAGTTATAAAAATGTTTTGTTATCATGGTAAAAATAATGCATTGGAACTTTTAAAAACAAATATCTTGAAAAATATTAGCTTTAGACACTTCTAACAAGTAAACCTTTTTTGTTGTGGAAATACGAGAAAATATTTTTCGGTCAGTTGTTGTATACAGGGTAGCACAAAAAGTTATGATAAGTTATTTAAATAACGGATTCTTATTTCTCATATTAGAAAACCTCTCTATACCGAGTTTTATGCTAAAATCTGAAATACTTCTCAAGCAATAAGAAAGTATAGGAAATAAAATTGTAGTATCTCCAGTTTCGAGATTTCCCAAATTTCCCAGACGCCCTGATATAGAAGTAGGCTCATGACCACGCATGGAAAAAACTCACTTTGTGACTTCTGGAGTTAGTAGCAAAAGCCAAATGAAACAATTAGTATGTTGTATTCACTCCTAAAAGCAAACCACACCCTCTTACTAGAGGAAGGCGCCACCTTGATGGTGTGAGGGACACCCAGCTTCCACGGTGACACCCCAAAGTTGTACTTGAGACAGAGTGAGCCATTCATTGAGCGCACCTGATCCAGAATCTGCTTGGTGGTCTGCCCCAGCCTGACCTGCTCCTGGAGCACCGCAGAGATGTCTATCCCGCATGTATCCAGGACTGCACTGTGACATCTCGCGATTATTTCCCTGCCGGTGAGCGAGACGCCGTCTTCGCTATTTTTTTTTATGATGGTGTTGCACACTTCCGACATTATCTTGATGGTATCCACGTCCATGTCAGAGATTACGTCACAGCAGCCTAATTTGTGTTAAGTGTATAAAAAGAAATATGATAGATACGTCTTGATTTTGCTAATAAGGGCAAGTGGAAAAATTAACAAACGTATATAATGTAACAAATTATGCTTATTATTTGCAATAATTAATCAGAAATGAACTCAGGATGATCATCTCACTTAGAAAGCCAGTTTGGTAATTTTAGTTATAATAATGATGAATATTTTTAAATTACTATCTGCCTCAATAGGGTATACAAAAAACAACTATACTTTTGGTAATTAAGTTTTAACTTCTCTGCAGTCAAAATTCATGATTCATGGAAAAAAAAGGAATAGAATTGCAGCAATAGAGTGATTCCAACTCCAGCCATTCACAGCAAAAAACATCAGCAGAAGTATTACCCTATAAAAACGTTTTCAAATGGTAAAATATATAAATATTGTTTTTCACACACTTCATAATATTTGTGTAAGGTTTCAATTCCTAGCAATGTTATCATAATTATAGAAGCTAGACAAGAAGTGCCAAGGTTTGTGCTATTTTTATCATTTATGTACCTTATAAAATTTTTCAACGATCTTATGGAAGGTACAGACCTTACAGACAGAAGAGTTGTGGGTACAAGGTAATGAGTTTTTAAGATAATGGCGAATTCTAAAAAAATAAACCAGCTTTGCAATCATTCTCAAGAAATACACTAATGAGTGGTTATTGCTAGGAACTCACAAAAATCTCAATTTGTTTCTCAAAATAGTGCTATGTAATTAAAAAATGAAAGAAAATCTATATAAAAGAGATGTCTCATCTTGTACGTGACATGTGAATGTATTGCTTGGATTTTGGACATCTACGAGCCCTGTCGCATATGAGTTGGAACTACGAAATATATTTATAGAATGTTGTCTTTGTGAACTAATTTTTATTTATTCAAAATAACTTGAAAAAATACAACCAAGACAATTTGATGCTATGTGGTATTAAGAACTAATCGACAATATTTGATATATATTTAAATTACAATAATAAACAAGAACAAAAAAATTGTTTGAGATGTCGTCGCATATTAATTGGACCATCTCATGCAATACGATAAAACCATGCTTACGCGGCGAAATCGGATCTTTTTTTAAAGCGGGCCTTGGAAAAACAATTGAATAGTATGTTTGCCTAGAGATGTCAATTTAAGTTTAGTTGTAAAAATGGCTCGCCGAAAGGCGTTGTCCGACGATATGCGAAATTCCATTGTAGCTGTACACAAAAATGGAGTTTCCAGGCAATTGCAAAAAATCTGAGCATCCTCAAGGAACAGTAAGAAAGATTATCTCACTGTTTAAGCAAAATGTACATATTGACATAAAAATTAGAAATGGCCGTCGATCGAAGATTACAGAAAGAGATGAGCCAGCTCTTCTTGCAATTATTAAACATAATTGCAGAGCTGTATCGAGGGAAATAGCTGTAAAAGGGTCACATGTGATTGGTAAAAGAGTTTCAAAGAATACTTGTTTAAGATCAATGAAAAAAATGGGATATTCATTCTACAAAGTAAGTTGTGACTGTTGTGAGTATCAAAGACTCAAGCTCAAGCTTATTTAATTTTCATTTTAGGCAAAGGAAAAGCCACTTGTTTCTTTCAAACAAAGAAGAAACTGACTTCTATGGGCAAGAGAGCATAAATACTGGGTACAACATCAATGGGATTCAGTTATCTGGAGTGAGGAATCCAAGTTTGAAGTATGTGTTGGCGATTCACGTAGCAGAATTATCCGCACGCGAGGAGAAGAATATCACACCGACTGTCTCAAGAAAAGGGTTAAATTCCCAGCGTCTGTAATGGTATGATGATGCATGTCTTTGCAAGGAGTAAGACGTCTTCCTTTCGTTGATGGCACTGTTAATGCTGCTAAATATAAAATCATTTTACAAGAATTGCTGACATCCATTGACATGATTCAAATTCGAGGAGTGGATTCATATTTCAGCAGGATGGTGCAGCATGCCATAAACCTAAAAGCATAACATCCTGATTACAGGAAATGAATATTTCTGTTCTAAAATGGCCTTCAAGTATCTCCAATTGAGACCCTATGATAAAAGCACTTTGAACTTCTCCAGTCCACACTATTCCTGAATTTAAGCAGAAACTTTAGGGAATTTGGGATAATTTTAAAATAGAATAGTTCAAAACATTGGTAGACACTATGCCAAGAAGAATTGATGCTGTATTAAAACGAAAAGGTGACTGCACTCAGTGGTAACTTTTCAAAAACGTTTAGTCCAAATAGTAGGCGCCAGACATTATCGAGAATTTTGTTTTGTTTTGTATATTATTGTAGTTTGAAAATATAACAAATATGGTTGATTAATTGAGGCATGTTTCACAAAAACTGTATAAGTCCAAATTTAACAAAATTGAGTTAGTGACACCATCTAGTACAAAAAAAGGATGTTTTTTATTAAGCACACATATTTTTTTAGTGAAGGGCATATTTTTTAAGCTATTATTAACAGTTAACAAAAAATTATTCAAGATAATTATTAGTTTTGATATAAATCGTTTTATCTGCTTCCTGAAAATTTTGTATATTAGACATATGTTGTTTTTGTAAAACATGCCTCAATTGTTAATAATATATAGTTTAAACTTATCTAAATTGTTTTTGTTCAGGTTATCTTGAATAAATAAAAATTAGATTAACAAATACAACCTTATATAAATATTTTTCATTGGTCCAACGGTCCAACTCATATACAACTGGACTCGTAGATATATGCTTACTACTAATAGAAAATCATGGCTTAGGGACTGTATGATTTCTATAAACCATAGTCTGTAATGGAAAAAGTGCAATCAGTCCTTGGAAGGCTGGTCGGTCCCTACTTTGCGAGACTGGATTGTAACTCCAAACTTAGATGCTATCTTTACAATTCACTTATAATCATAAGGATGGTGGACGTTATAACCCTCTACTGTAACAAACTAGAGTGTAGCATGAAATGAAATAATTCAGGCCCTGCAATGATGAAACCTATGTATGGCCTGTTAGGCTCGTTCAACCATGTAGTTTTCTGCTTTTAGAGCCTCGCTCTACCAAGGTATTCAACTATAATAAATCTGTAGGCTCTAGAATATTTATAGCCCTCTGGAAAATATAGCAGTATATTTACCTGTACTTCTGTCGATGGGGCTAGGCTTGGTTTGGTGACTCAGGGACCCTACCAGCATCGGATAGAATACTTTTGGCCACAAAACTGCAAAACACCCTACCACAATCACCAAAATAAACATTGTTTTTCTAGGCGATAGTTCGTTTGCCATCACACCTGGATTCGAATTAGGATAGCTGCTGCTTCGAATCCGGTCCGTCATTTTTGCAATTTCGTTCGTTCTTTAGTCTAAACCCTACCTCCACGTTACGACATCGATTCGCTACTCGCGAGAAAACCAAAATTTTTGGCTTAACCTAGGAGAATACAAAAATAGTCTGATGACGACAGTCATCTGACAGATGGAAAAATAGTGCAATCCACAACCCATATACAGTAAGTACAATGATGGTTGCCGATACGTTGACAAATCCACAGCCATTCATGTGGATAGTTTCTTCAATCAATATATTTTCACTAGAAACAGAAATCATTATTTTACCGCAATTCCTCTAAAGGTCTAAAGAGACATTTCATTTCTTCCTTTAGGTAAATAATGATAAAAGAAAAAAATCGATGTAAATAATGAATCTGTGCATTCGTGTAGAGCTTATTTAGCAAAGTAAAATACCTGCTATTAAACCTTTTAAACATTTTTGAATATTACTATTGTTTACGACTAGCAAAAATACCCTGTTTTGGACTGAAATTATTGTTGATCGTATTCAAACAGCTTGAAAGTCCCAGGCTACTTTTAATAAATTGGAGTGTTTGGAAATTATTAAGAAACGAATGATGTGTCACCAGAGAGTTGACATACGTAGCACCTACTATCTTTGCCGAACTCTATCCCGTAGCGGCATCGTCCCTGTCGTACGCATAGTTTTGTGATGCAGACATTGATTCGGCATTATCGTGAACGTTACGGAAATTCGCAGATATGCTATATTTCAATCAAATTAAATGTGGTAATGTATCATAGTAGTGTAAAATATTTTTTCAATACCTCAGTGGTAAAGGCTCTAGACTATTTATAGGCCTCTGGAAAACATAAAAGTATATTTACCTGTACTTCTGTCGATGGAGCTAGGCTTGGTGACAGACTAAAGCCATAATGGCATACTTCTCCACCAAGCTACGTAATGTACTATTTTGTTATACAGGATGGACCAGAGAGACGTACGAATTTCAAAACCCTATTGCTCGTGACAGGCACGCGGGAGCGGGACGTGGGCATAAGTAGCTTGGTGCTCGGAAATTTAGTCGCCATGGAGCGTTTCATCAACGAGCAGCTTGCGTTCTGTGTTAATGCCTATTACAAAAATTGTGGTTCGTGCACTATTGCGCGGCGTCTGTTTCACTCCGAGTTTAGTTTACATGATCTAAATCAATGCAATAGTGAAAGTGTGGCATGGATTTCTTAACAAGCACAATTACCGGTATTGCGCCGTAGAAAATCCCAAATTAAAACACCAACGACCTTTGCATTCGAGTTATGTTACAGTTTGGGCGGCCATTTCGATTTAAATAATTTTCGGACCCTATTTCTTCAAAAACGAGCAAGGCCAGACTGTAACAGCAAATTCTAATCGCTACACAGCAGTGCTACATAACTGCATAATTTTGAAGCCTACCATAGCAGAACCTGGTTTCAACATGATGGCGCGACATCCCTTACCGCCAACGAGTCTTTAGCAGTTGTAAACGAAATGTTTAGTAAAAAACTGATATCACGACGAGGGGACATTCCGTGGCCTCCTTAGCGCCCAAATCTCATGCCACTGGATTTTTTTCTCTAGAGACACCTCAAGAGCCGCGTTTGGGCCAATAAACCGACGTCGATTGCTCAGCTCAAGCACATTTCCGAGATGTCGGCTATCCCACGAGCGATGTGCCAGCGAGTTTTCACGAATTTGAAGACTAGATTCGAGGAGTAGGTACGTCTCGATGGCTCACAACTCAATGATGTTCTTTTAAAAATAAAATTTCCATATGTCTACTTTATTAATGATATAAATTATCTTCTCTACGCCTTGTAGTTTTTTATATGATTTTTTAAAATCCGCTCAATTTAATGGCCCAGCCTGTATATAGATACTATAAAAAGGCGCCTTTTAGAATGTTCCTGAATTTCAACAAAATATTAATATTACCAATTTCCTCTTTCAGCATCCACAATCTGCTCACTGCTTTGTACAATGTTCTTGCACTAGCTTGTAACAGCAACTTAAATGAATATGAAACAAAAACGCGAGAACTGTTCAATTAAGCTTTATTAACTGCATAATACAAAATTATTCAATAGAATGAATATGAAAACGATGGTAATAATACTATCAATATCAATAATGTCATGAAAAGGATGAAATTATGTATATCGGATGACATTCACGCGTTGGGCTCCGGCTCCCGATTGTAAGTCTCCATGATCTTCTCCATGATTTCCCAATGTTTATCTTTTGGCAAGTCTTTGACGAAAATATTGTACCAGACTTCATCATCAGTATCTTCCATTAAGGGCAACTGAACACCATAGCATTGCAGGGCGAGGGAAATACAAGCGATGGCAACATGGCGAGGATCATAGTCTAAGATGCTGGAGTCATGGTGGAAGTCCTGAAGGAATGCTGCAGCCGCCCTTGCTACAGGAATGCTCTCCCACTGTTCTTTACCTATCCTGGAATAATAGAAGAGATGGTTTTACTTAACTTTACATACAGTGTCATGTCAAGTTATCATTAGTTGTCCTCATGTCATGGTGACAGATTACACTGGTCAACACTGATTTTGCCACACGAACTTTGACAGCTAATTTTGTTTTATCAGTCTACCCTCATTATTACACGACATCTGTCATATGTCTATTAGCCTCATATTTGTTGTGATACGGTAATACTCATAACTATTACTACGGCAGTAAATTAACAGAAACGCTTACAAGTAAATCCTTATAAAAATATTTGTTGTTGAATTTGAACACTTTTTTGTGATTTATTAACCCTGTGAATATGTCGAGGAAGTGTAATAATGATCCTAACTCTTTTTGTTATGTCTGCGGAGAACTAACATTCAAAAAACAACGACGAAATTTTACGAATCTTGTGTTGGAGTGTTATCACCAATGTTTTGGTTTTTCTGTCGCCCATCAAGACAAATCCTGGGCCCCTCATGTCTGTTGCATAACGTGTGTGAAAAATTTAACTGACTGGAAGAAAGGTGCACGACCTATGCCGTTTGCTGTACCCATGATATGGACTGAACAGCGAGATCACGTTTCAGATTGCTATTTTTGTCTCACAGACATAAAAGGTATAAATTACAAGAAAAAAACCACAGTTATTTACCCTAACTTATCTTCGGCTATAAGACCAGTCTCTCATTGTAAAAAATTGCCAGAACTAATACCAGTTGCAACTACGTCTGTTGAGAACAATTCACAACCGTCCACTTCAGGTGAATGTGTTGACGAGGACGATGACTTTGAGTTAAAAGGAATTGTAAATGAGCCACATTTGATAGCTCAAGGATACCTAAATGATTTGGTTCGGGATTTAAATTTGTCAAAAAAGCAGTCAGAACTATTAGGATCGCGTCTAAAAGAATGGAATTTGCTACATCATAATACAAAAGTTAGCTATTTTCGAAACCGTGATCAACACTTCAGAACGTATTTTTCTCAGGATGGAGATTTGGTGTTTTGCAATAACATAAATGAGATTATGAAAATGTTGGACATAGATTTTGATCTCTCTCAGTGGCGTTTATTCATTGATTCTTCGAAAGCAAGTCTAAAAGCAGTGTTATTGCATAATGGAAATAAGCTTCCGTCTGTACCTCTGGCCCATGCTGCAAATATGAAAGAAACCTATGAAAATATGAAACTTTTACTTGAAAAAATAAATTACAGTACATATTCCTTCAAAATCTGCGGTGATCTTAAAGTTGTTGCACTATTACTTGGACTTCAGCTGGGTTATACAAAGTTTTGCTGCTTTTTATGTGAATGGGATAGCCGAGACTAAACTAATCACTATATAAAAAAAACATGGCCTACGCATGCATCATTAGTTCCTGGGCAAAAAACGTAAAGTATTTACACCTTGTACAGCCAAATAATGTGCTTCTACCACCATTGCATATCAAATTAGGATTAATAAAAAATTTTGTGAAGGCAATGGATCGCAATGGGAGTGGATTTTTGTATCTAAAAGAAAAATTCCCTAAAATAAGTCATGCAAAGATAAAAGAGGGTATTTTTGTTGGCCCTCAAATTAGGGAGTTAATAAAAGATTCAAGATTTGAAGAAAAATTAAGCGATTTAGAAACATCTGCATGGAAGGCTTTTAAAAATGTTGTTGCAAATTTTTTGGGTAACCACAAGAGTGACAGCTACAGAGAGTTGGTTAGCGAGCTATTATTGTCATATCAAGCATTGGGTTGCAACATGTCACTTAAGATCCATTTTTTAGACTCGCACCTGGATTTTTTTCCTGACAATTTAAGGGCTGTCAATGACGAGCACGGTGAGAGGTTCCATCAGGACATTTCTAATATGGAAAAGCGGTACCAGGGCAAATGGAGCCCAAATATGTTAGCAGATTACTGATGGACAATTAAAAGGGACCAACCAGAAGCTAAATATTCAAGAAAATCTTAGATTATTAAGTCATTTATGAAAAAAAAATAACTTTTGATTTACGAGATCTGTGTTTTTTCTTAATATTTTAAATTACTTAATAGAATAAAATCCTTGTCTAGCAAATTTTTTTTAACTGTTTATTTTTTCTTACAATCACCAATTAAAGTAAAAAATATCAAAAAAGTCCGTGTGGCACGACAAAGTTAAAATTTTGTTGACCAGTGTTATTACAAACCAATGTTAAGTGAAAAAAAGTAGAGCAAAAAGGAAAGGAAGGATTATGCTGGACAGGGGGAATCGTTCAACTAAAGGTTGACCATTTCGATATTTGATCTAAAAGGTTGATTTTAGTGCAGGTTTTGTTTATTGTATTGTATTTTTTGCATTTAAGGGTACAGTGTTGAGTTCTGTGTAGGTGATAGGAGTAACGGTTATAAGCTGATTTAGTGTTTTATTTTTAATTTTGAACTTTTTTGTTAGCCAAAAGTTTTTCTGATCCTTGCAACTGTCTCGGAGTTTTTTGTAGGTCTCTAACGTATTGTATCTTTTTGTTCATGTCTGTGAGTCTTGTATTATTGTTTGATAGTCAAATTCTCCTAGTCATATTTTGTCAAAGGTAGGGATTTATCTAAGTTGCGTTTCGGTTGAATGCAAGTTGCGCAAGTGCTTTAAAGTTTATAGCTGCATAGGTATGTTCATTGAGAAGCTTTTTCTAGCGAAGGACCGTTAGAACATCTGGAGTCCCATTCGAAATTTGAGTAGTTTTGGGCGGTTATTAGAGTTCATTTCCAACCTGAAAGTTCGTTTTTGCTGGTAGGTTATGTGTCAGAAGAAATTATTTCAATATCTTGTTAGCCTCTACAGTATCTGCATTTGAGTTTTCTTCTCTACAAAAGTTTTCCTGCTATGTCGTTCAGCTGTTCAATATCAGGATTTCTTCTCTTCTAATTCAGATATTCTCTTGATTAGTGCAGCATTTTCTGATTTCAAAGCTCTAATGTCGCCGGCATAAAGAGATTATTTTAGTAAAGTAAGCTGATTCCGTTTGTTTCCTTTTTCTGTTTTATAATAATAGTCTCAAAGTTGCGGCGTGGTCACTGTACGAGGGATGTCTTTTAAGTTTTGCATAAACATAGTAGGCCGCGCGGATCGAACGTCAGTATTGAATCTTAACCTCACTCTTTAGTAAACTTAAATTCAAAGTTTCACAACAATACGAGCAGTGTTCTCACTCACTCACTCTCACTCGCGCCATAATTTATTACAACTTTCAGAGACAATTATCGCAACAAGAATGCCTTGCTGAGTTACTGTGTGTTTTTGGCAACGAAGCGCCACATCAGTCGACAATTTCCCGTTGGTATGAAGAATTCAAACGTGGACGGGTGAGTCTTAGCGACGATCCCAGGGTGGGTGCACCAAAAACGGCAGTCACCCAGGAAAACGTCGATGCTGTGCGCATCATTGAAGATAGACATGTAATATATCGCGAGATTGAGGCGTCCTTGAAGATCTCAAAGACCTCAATTCAAAAAAATTTACATGAAGAATTAGGAGTAAGAAAATCAGTTTCTCGATGGATCGCCCACCTTTTGACTGAAGAGCAGAAAGCAGCCAGGGTTAATTGGTGTCAAAAAACGCTTGACCGTTTCAATTCCGGAAACTCAAAAAATGTGTACAGCAGGTTAGTGGTGATGAATCGTGGTTTTGCTGTTATGAACCAGAAAATAAACGACAGGCGGCTGTTTGGGTGTTCCAAGGTGAATAAAAGCCAACAAAAGTCATCCGTTCTCAAAGTATTTCGAAAAAGATGATTGCGACATTTGTGTCAAAAGCGGGTCATATTGCAACAATTCCTCTTAATGAGCAAAGAACTGTTACTGCGAATTGGTATACCACCATTTGTTTGCCAAAAGTCATCACTGTGCTTCGAAAAATCAAACCCGAAAGAAGAATCATCCTCCACCAAGACAATGCAAGCTCGCACACAGCCCAAAAACAAGGCAGTATTTAACGGAAGAAAACGTGGAATTATTGGACCATCCTCCATATAGTCCGGGTCTAAGTCCTAACGATTTGTTTACTTTCCCGAAAATTAAAAACAGACTGCGTGGTCAAAGGTTCCAGTCACCAGAAGTAGCCGTTGACGCATTCAAAAATGCCGTTTTGGATCAGCCAGCAAACGAGTGGAATAACTGCTTCGAAAATTGGTTCTCGCGCATGCAGATGTGTATTAATCTTCGTGGAGAATACTTCGAAAAACAATAAAGTCATTTAAAACTACCTACGGTGTTGTTTTATTTCCATATGCAAAACTTAAAAGTCATATACATCACATATTATACTCATATGTGATGTGAAGTGCAATCCATAGTCCTTAGAACAGAATGAACATATCGCTGTCAACGCGTCTTCCAGTGTGTAGTTGTGGTAGATTAGCACATTCAGCGTGCGATGGGTTTCAGCAAACTGAACATACAATTGCTTCAGCTGGTACCAAATTTCGCATTCGATAAACTGGGTAGACATCTTTTGTGTGAAATAAGTTTCATGGTCCAAACCAGATTAACTGGTTACTTATCAGAAACTATGGGTAGATGGTACCTCTGTAGATAAATTTTAATTACCAGAATGTGATATGAACTATGTACTAGTTTTGTTTATTGATAATATCTTCATAAAATGTCACTTGTATACTGTTCTTGTTGAGTAACATAGTATTGACTCAACAGATCAGATATCACTTTGGGCACTTGTTTTAATGAAGATTTATATCAAATACACTCAGATTCGAGGAACAAATACGAAAATTGCAGAAATGATGTTTAGTATATCATTGATATAGCCAAACTAGATTAGATATTTTGATACTTTTGCACATCATTGATTATTTCTGTTGAATGACAGCTGGAAATGGATAACGCCTTCTTTATTTTAAATTTGTAGTTGGTTTGTTTACATTGTTTAAAAATTCCAATGAATGAGATACTGAGTGCTATCTCTCTCTCTGTGTCTATATATATATATCTTAAAAGTTGTCTGTCAAAAGTAGGTCAAACTAATTATGCATACAGAACACAGATTGATACCACACTAATTTTTTATAACAAAGATATTGTTAGTCACTTGCAATGGAATATTTAGCAAGTGATAAAATACACTTAGTTTAGTTCAGGGAGTGATATCAGTTTATCTAAAACTGTTGAACTTTCCACAAAGCTAAGTGGATTCAATAGATAACAAATACAAGTTTTGATTCCCTGGAATGTCTTATACTCGTATTACATAGTTGAATTCATAATCAGTATATATATGTTGTATATGACCCTTTGGTACAGCAACTACTACATTATAGTAATTACATTTTTGTTCAATGTTGATAACCAGCATTTCTTCAAGTTGCTAATTGTTCATTAAAATTCAATAACATAGAATATACTAAAAATTAATATTTTTTCTGGTTTATTTAATATACACATTTTTAGAATCTATAGAGATTATTATTGATGCTAGGTAATATTAAAATGTTAAAGATATAAATGGTAATAAGGGTATTTTAGGATTAATAACTAGGCCCTAAAACTATGGGAAAAGAATATGTCTTTTCAAGGCTAAATTCCATATAACTTTAGTTAGGAATGGACTATAGAAGATAATAGGACATGATCCCTATTATAAATATATATCCAAAGTAACAACAGAAATAAATGTTTTTGTATCTGAGGCATAAAAGATCCATGTAACCTATTCATATTGACAGGAAAAAAGATACAGAAAATATATAGTTGAGCTGAGCTAAGATAATGCTGTAGCAAAAGACAAAATTTACTCAAAAGTTATGTAAATTACATTTTTTCATTAAAACAAAAAATAATGTTGACCTGAGAAAGAATATTTTTGCAAAGAAAACTGTATTCTACTGCAACAAATATACCCTATTTTATGAGTATCCATCACAGCAGAATGACAACTGATTATCTAGTAATATCTCAAAATTCCCCATATCAGCATATCACACATAATTCTGTTTTATCCATCATCAGGTAGACAGAGACAAATTTTGTTTTGGTTTTTTGTATGCTACAGATTCATTTTGTACATGCTAACAGCTCTTTTATTTAGAAAAGTTTATTTTCATACAAAAAACAAAATGCTACAAGTTTTACTAGATTTACACCAAATGCATTATTGCCAATGTGGTAGACTAACACAAAAATGTCACTTGCTGTTCACCTGTTTACCTCAGTAGATGTCAATGCATGATGGAAACTCATGAAATAGGGTATATTTATTAAAATAAGGGTAAAAATAGTTGATTCAACAAATTTCTTACTTACCACCTTTCCATAGACTTCAAATAATGCAACATAAACTTATGCGGATGAACAGTACCAACTTCAAACTTTAATACCCTCATAATAAGTAGTTCTGCTTGGACTATAGCATCCCTCATATTCCAGTATTCATCCCCAATTTCAAGTGGGCTGCTACCACGATGCAGTGAGTTATGGGCTACATTTATTATGTCTCGGATCTTAAGTGGGTCATCTTTTACTTTACCAGCCAGGTAGAGAGCTGAAGCTGCAATCAACTGTCGATAAAAACATTTAGATTAAAAACTAGGTTTTCTTATGATTATTCACAAGAGATTATTGATGAAAAAGTAATTTTCTCTAGGCTGATGGTGAAGTGATGGTTTTACTTACATAGCTATCATAGTTTGCTGGATCCACTTCTCTGAAGAACCTGTGCATTATAACAGCTGCAGTAGCTAGAGTTAAAGGTTGCCCTCTTAGCTTAACTCCACACTCAAAGATAAATCTGGCTGGTGTGAAACCATTATTGAAGTCCAACTTTTTGTAATCCAATGGCGTGACTTTCTTTATCTTCTCCCGTTGAAGCTCCATAACATCGATAACGTCTTTCATTTTTGTTGATTTTTCCTGTTGAACACCGTCGTTTTAGCTCGATTTCTAAATGAGAATCTACATACACATGTTCAACAACCTACCAGTTTTTTTCAATATAGTGAAGTAGTATTTCCCGAGGTTTACAGAAAAATGCAGCCCACTGAAATGATTAATCGTTTATATATTATCAAAATAAAATGCTTTTGAACTATTAACCTTTGAAAGAAAAATGCGGAACTATCCCACGGTTCGACTGCTGAGGTCCGTGTATGTGAGAACGTAAACACAAATATCTAAAAATCTTTCTTGCCGGCAATATATATAAAAGCAACGCTTAGATAAAACGTGACTTAAAATTTTGCTTTGAATAAGAATAAATGGTAATTTTTCACTTGCCCAATGCCCACAGTTTGTTTATGAAATGAAAGCAGTGCACAACGCAAAACAGAAAACAGGTGAAGGATGAAAGAATAAAAAAGCGGAAGAGAAAATGTGGGATTCGTTATAAAAGAGATGAATATTTTCCCAGCACTAGTGATGTAAAATAATTAAGTAACGCTTACAAAATAATCGTTACAAATGAGTAACTAAATGTAACGAGTCCTACTTTTTGAAAAGACTCGTTACTTTTTATTTGAATTCGTTACTTTGAATGCGATACGGTCTTTTTCTATGTATACTTTTTAATTACTGTTAGTTACTACACTATACATTACTTTAGATACAAACGTTACTGGAATCTAATGTAGCCAGTACTGCCAGCGCCAGTAGCAAGTGACTTGGTTCTTGGATGTAAACTGGGTGGAAATGAAATGATGCGAATATCGTTAGGCTTAGGCAACTTTAGATACTCTTCTATCAAAAGAGTTGCGGACTGCGGAGCTTTAGGTTGGCAATGTTTGTGTACACCTGTACACCTTTCATTTGACTTTGAGAGCTACCGGTTGGCGGGTTGTTACTGGTTTGGACGTTGCCGTACAAGCTCGAGCAATAATATAATTATTTGTACAAAAATATGGAATCATCCGCGTCCGGTTCAGGAGAATCGCAATCTCAAAAAAGAAGTGTTATTTGGATGCATTTCACCAATATATCGGAAGCTAATGCAAAGTCTAATCTTTGTAAAAATATTTATTCGCATAAAAATGGAAACATTAGCAATTTAAGGAAGCATTTGAAAACTAAACATCCGACTCTTTCATTGGAAGGAGAAAGGGCAAAACGGCGGGTGGAAGACGAAAATATGCCTAGGTGCAAAAGGAACTTAGTTTCAGGTATGTTTTATTATTATAAGTATTTTGTTGAACACCATTTACAGTGGAGTAACCAGACTGTTAAGTAGGGCAGGGGAGTAACCAGACTGTTAGGGCAGGGGACGCTACTCAGCTAAAGTAAAGAGTGAGGAGAGTGGTTCCTCCACGGTCCCCATCTGGTTATGCCACTTGTTAAATACGATTTACAGCGTACAGCCAACGAACCAGACGTCACACAACGACGAGTTTAAAATATAAGTACCTTCTACGTATCAAATATCAAAAAAAATAATAGGCAACGCATTAGACAAAAATAATAATTGGATCAATCCCAAAGTAATAATTTGATATAATATATAGAATGTAGGTTCTAAACGAAATGTCCAAATAGTAACTAAACTAACAAGTCCAAAGTTCGAAAGTAACGAGTCCTTGCAAGTCCTAAAAAGTAACGAAACTTTGCATCACTACCCAGCACACTGTTCACCAGTGTTGCCACAGCGTTGTGGCCAAATTACTTCTAAAGGTCGCTACAGACACAACTGCAAGCTTGTCCAGAATGCTTATTCAATCTTTTTGTACAAGTACATATGTACAATTTGCCTTTGGCACCTCACGTTACAAGCATGCTTGATAAAAAATAGAGGTAGTTTAATAAAATATGTCGAGGTCGGATGACGATGCGCTCGTTTTGGCCGCTTTTGTTCTTGTGAAGAAAAGAAAATCCCGAATAAAAAAGCGTGCGGTATGGTGTAAAGAATGGTTGATTAAAAGGAAAACCTATTCTCACATTAACTTAGTAATTGAGTTGAAAATATATCTGCACAATTATCTTAGAATGGATGAAGAGACGCTTGTATCACTTTTGATTCAAAAGCGGGATACGATCATCAACGGACGCCAACTCGTGCAAGCTTGAAAATCTTGGGTACACACGTACCGTTTTACTTGCGCAAGCGCACCTAATTCAAGCATGCATAATTAAAATCAATTCAATCCTCAAACTGCTTGTACAATTACAAAGCTTGCACCACATTTCCCTACAGGCATTCAAGCGTGCTTGTACAAAAAGACTGAACAAGGATGTTGGTCAGCACTGGCGCTCCTACGGGGGGGTAAAGGGGGTAATTAGCCCCCCCCCCAGACGACTCGAGCAGTCTTTGAAAAGGTGGTGTAAAGTAAACGTCTTATAAAGAAAACTGTAACTTTAAGAAAGGATAGCGGCACACTGCCAACCCGCTCAGTGAGCATGCGACTAGCGACTACTTTCCCACCAACAGCAACGGTGTGCGCTTCTTCCTGTTGGAACAGGTATAGTCTAGTCTTTTATGGTCTAGTCTAGTGTATAAATTCTGTACCAGTCCGGAGTCCGCAACAAAATTTGGTTGAGAAGTGAACAAGCGGAGTTTTGTTGATCTCGTTGGTATTAACGCTATTTTCTATGTTCTATTGATTTTTTATTTTTCACGCATAAGCCAGAAAATTATTTTTTGTTTGTTTTTAATTTTTATACTATAAAAGAATCGTGTCCGAAAAAATGACAGACGAAAAAATGGAAATTTAATATAATTTCAATTACTAAGTGTTTGGTCCATACTCCAGCTATCATTATCATCTATGTCTATTTCATCCCTGTATATAAGCACATCAGTGCATTTTGTTCGTCCGAGATTGCAAGTTATATATTTAGTTTTTGAAAATTGCGTGAACTTAAGAAATCTTGTCTTCCAAAGAAAAAAGGTTCTTTGTTGTGAGATACGTGAATGCGTGAAAACCAATAATGCCGTTTATTTGACATTATTTGTGTAACTTTTAGTGCTGGTTGACGGCTACGGTTGTCAGGATGAGTAAAAGGAAACAGAATACCATCGATTGGTTCCTTTCTAAACAAAACAAACTGTCTGATCCATCGGCACAATAATTACCGGAATAAACTGATGATAATCCTACAACGCAACCTGAGCCTTCCACTTCAAAATTTCTTGATGTTGCACCGTATGCTGAACCAAGTGTTGAACAATCAGGTGCGAAACCTAAAGGATTCAATTTTGTTGATGTTGCGCCATATGTAAATTTCAGCGGCAACTGGTCTTTCCATGAAAAATATACCTTATTGGGGTGCGCAATGATCCCTAATGACTCTTTCATACATCCCTATTCCACAAACTTGAAAAATAATAAAGAAGTGAAATGTTGCTTATCAAAAAAACACTGAGAAATTTCCTTGGAGGAACTACAAGGGTTTTTCTGTAAATATTGCGTGGTTTTTACATAATTAGGAGGAGTACATAAATCAACTAAATTGGGAAAACTTGTTGCCGTACCACTAAAGATATTTTCGAAAATGTATGGCAAAACCGGTGACACAAGAGAACTCAACATATGATACAGAAGCAGTTTCAGATGCTACAAACTTTTTAAAGATTTACGAAAATCCAGAGAATGATGTAAGAAATACAATAGGTTCGGATCGAATTAAGCAAGTATCAGAAAATCGGCAAAGATTGACTACTATAAGAGAATCTTTAAATTTTTTAGCTCGCCAAAATATACCACTTAAAGGGCATAGAGATAGGGGACGACTTTGTTCTAATGACAGCACAAATGACGATGATGTCCTTAATAATGAAGGGAATTTTAGAGAACTAATACGGCTTAGAGTCCGGAGCGGTGACAAAAAACTTAGAGAATACTCAAATGCGCATGCTACGTACATAAGCATGCGCATGCTACATACGTTACATAAGCAGCCGCATCCAAAATGAAATTATAGACTGTTGTGGCGAAGAAATATAGTTTTAAGTCGCGTCAGGCAAAGTCAGTTTCGAGGACTTCATTGTGGATTGCTACTCAAATTTTGATGAAGATACAATGGAGCCCAAACTCTCAGGTCAAATTCTTGCTCAAACAGTCAACCATTTCATTAGAACGAATAACTTAGACTCAAAACTATGTGTGGGCACTGGTACTGATACGTGTAACCTAATGTTAGGTGAAAAAGGGCGCTGTAAGCGAATTGCAAAAATGTTTGCCAACTGCTCTAAAAAGCCCATGCGCAAATCATGCCTTGAATCTTTCGATTTCAAAAAGCAGCAGTGTCCAAGCAGTAAGAAACACTGTAGGTATAATGAAGGAAGTAATTACGTTCTTCAGAGCATCCGCTAATAGAAATACAGGATTAAAAAGAACACTACACGGATATCAAATTCATAGTACGTGCGAAACACGATGGACCGAGATACATGATTCTGTGCTCCAATTTGAAAGCAAATTCGAGAAAATTGTAGAGGTACTAAATATTATATCAGGAATGGAAAGACCGCGAAGCTTCTTCAAAAGCGGAGTCTTTTCAATCAAAAACAATTGACAAACAATACGCTGTCAAACTCTTAGGAAATATTATTTGAGTTGTACAAGAAAGACGCGCAAATTCCGAAAAACACTTTAGAATACTATTCGCATCTATAATGAAATTACATGAAAGCCTGGGTATTGAACTGACTGTGCCAAGAATAACAAGCAGGCAAATAAACAGACCGAACATAGTTACGTCTGACAAGGAAAATCATTACAGACTGAACCTATATGTCCCTCTGCTAGATAATATATTACAGGATTTGGTACACCGGTTCAATGAGGAATCCTTGAATATATACAATTTTAATATTTTCTTTGCCTCATTATTTAATTCAAAAATTGAAGCTGATGGATATATTAGAAACAATCTCTAAAAATTTGCATGGACTAAATAGTAACGAAAACAAAAACTTAATATGTACCAGATTAAAAGCTGAATTTGACCTTTGGAAGTCACGTACACAAGATATTATAGACAGTGGAATGTCACTGTATTTATCATGTGATGGAAACATTTTTCCTTCAATTAATAGATGCCTACAGTTATTGATTTCATTGCCGGTTAATGTTGCGACATCTGAAAGAAGTTTCTCCCATGTAAAGAGGATAAAAACGTGGCTGCGCTCCACTATGTTACAAGAGCGATTAGTGGGTTTAGCTCCTTTGTATATGCATAGGGATATTAAAATAGACGTGAATACAATCATAGATCGGTTCGCCAGCAAAAAGGATAGGCGCCTTGATTTTGTAATATGATAACACCAGAACTTTGCCTCAGGTTATCTCTCAAATCCATCTCCCTTCTGTTGGCCAATAAATAAAAAAGCAGATGTAGTTAAGGGTTACTTACTTTTAAACCACCACGGTGATCTGTTCCAAAGTATCCAATCATGATATGTGGTTTTATTTATTGGCCAGCAGATCGATATAAAAGTCTGTGCAAATTCTGTTCAAATCACTTTCTAAGCTAATGTAATGATTGTTTTATTTTGAGACTGTGAACTGATGTAGTTTTATAGTTTATATGTTTTTGTTTTTTTGAGACTGGCTAAGAGAATGTAGTTATGCAATGAATATTTTTTGCGTTTTTCTTATAATTAAGAATTTTATTTTGATTTACATTCAGTTTTATACTTTATTGAAGTCGTAACATATTTGTTATTATTATGTTTTTCATGAAGATGTATTTTTTGTTCTTTTGTCTGACATTGTTATGTAGAAAAGTCTGTGATAGATTATATTATTTTGCATTTTTGTTTTAATATATGAAGATTGCTCGAGCTTGGTTTGCTTTATTTAGACTTTGATTTCGTATGATTCAAAATTAAAAAAAAAAATTATGTATTTTTTTTAGAAATTACTGTAACAAATTCATGTGTCTGCATGTGTCCATGCTTTTAATGTCAAAACATTATAACACTTCAATACGTCAGACTGAGAATTTACTTTCCAAACAGTTATTCCACGTTTGCTCACTAGGATCGTTGTGAGCGTCCATCTATGGAGGAATGGCTCATCCAAACGTACACGCATTGTTGGTTGCATATCTTTTGTGAAGCCGAGTGGTCTATAGTTTTCACCTCTGAGTCTCTGAGAAGAAAGTTGGTTATTTGGTTGAATAGCAAGATCGCATCTGGATGATTGTGTGTATTGGTCTGCATGTGTATAAAATCAGTGATATTTGCTGTGTGAGAAAATCATTACTGTACAGCCAAGAGCTCGTAGAGATTCACACATCGGATCGTATACTGTTCTTATCACAATCACCATACTACACGTGTAAAATTAGATGTGCTATTAGAGAGCTCGTAGAGATTCACACATCGGATTGTATACTGTTCTTATCACAATCACAATACTACACGTGTAAAATTTGATGTGCTATTGACATGACCTACAATTTAGTATATCTATTAGTTGTGCCCGACGGGTTATTAATTTTAGATATTGTCCTTTCGAAAGACAGGTAGTGTTCAAAGTTATCAATTACGTTTTTTTTGTGTTTTCAAAAACTTTGAGAATTCCGGGAAATCACCACTGCGCCCGCGTTGTGTATAATTACTGACTTGTAATTCGACAGTGTACAGTGAATATAATTATTTCTTATCTTTCTCATTTTTGAAATTCAGCAAATTTGCATATGTAATTTCCAGAATGGATAACAAAAAGTGGATGCGCAACTAATTTCTAGCTTTGAATCTCAAGTAAGTGTATATGAGAAAAGAATCCAATGGAATTATTATCAACACATATTATTAGCATACAAATCCTCACTATGCCGTCATCTCCAGTAATTCCATCTCTGAAGCAGATTTTACATCACCTTGATTGATAACTGAAGCCTCTTGTCGTTTAGGCAATACGTACAACTACAAAACAAGTTTACAAAAGTGTCCATCAGCTAGTGCTAAGTTAACATCTTGTCGAAAAATCTACATACTGTTACAAAAAACAGTATGTTAAAAAAACGATCCAATAACACAAACAATCCATAAAATATCAATATCGCATTAATTACTTGCAAATTCCTTCAGAGCACACATTCTTTGCAAGTTTACTTGCAATGCTCATTCCTTGCAAATACAATTAATTACTTGCAAAATGGCAACACTGCTCTTCACAGCAGTTCACTGTCCTCGTAATGCCGTTTAAGGTACCCATTCGCATACTGTAAGCCGGCAGTCTAGGACTGTCGATTTGTATATCTTCAGTTAAAATTTGTCAATCCACTTGCAGGCCGGCGACAGGTCTGAGCCTGCAGACCATGAATCTCGCGATAGACTGATGTGTGTGGAATAAAGACCACACTGACGACAGTTCGAATCTGCAACTCCAACTTCAAACGTGTTGGAAGATTTTACACCATTTTGCAGCAAAATAGCAGAACCGAGCAATAGTACTGCGTTTTTAAGTGAATTTATTAATTTATACAGACAATTACCTTGTTTGTGAGAAATAAAAAGTAAATTTTATTCAGACAGACGCGAAAAAATAAAGCTTACGAAAGATCACTAGACATATAAAAGTGTCGAAAGCAGTGCAACCGTTGATATTGTTGAGAAAAAAATTAACAATTTTAGATGTGCGCTTTCACAATTAAGAAAATTCCATCGACTGTTAAAATGCCGTGCCATTTTCTGACATTCTTCAACTGAAAATAATAATATGCATCTATGTAGGCAACAATACTTCAAAATCAATCTTTTGTTTCTGTGTGAAAATGGTACAGACAAATTAATTACTATACTGATATGGAAGTTCTTCATATTGCTCGACCAATCTTTTATCCAAAATTTTGCTTTTGCTATTGGCTCTTGTATAGTAATAATAAGAATATAAGAAGTGCTGCGAACTTTTTTCTTAACCGTTTAGCTAACAACATTGTTGTTCTATCGGCCGATCAGAACTGACAAAATGTTCGTGTGCGTGGAGAAGGCACAGTTTTCCTGCAGTTCAGAATCAGTCAGTCTCAAAACTTCAGGCGGCGCCGTTTCAAATAACTGACTAGTGTATGGTTCGAGAAAGTTTGAATCTTCAGTTCAGGTTGTACAGTCCCAGAACCAGGAGAACTGCGTGAGAATGGGTACCTTAATGCTCGTTCTTCGTAGTCCTAGCAGTTATTGTTTTACGTATATCGAATACTAGGTCGCTTCTCATCTCTACAAAATAACTGTGTGCTGCGCGCCCTTGTGGCGTAAAAGTTACAGCGATCAACACTCAACAGATAACTGACATTTGTCAGGTGAGAATGTCAGTTTTGAGGTTATGCTTACCTTATTTTTCGAATGAACTTGAATCTTGAAACAACTTTTTTTTCGAAAATTCTCATTTAATTTCGAACATGGCCGAGGGAGGCTTAGAAGGATTTATCTGCCCGAGATGCATGAAGGATTTTCGATCACCCCAAAACCTAATTACTCACTTTGAACGTTCCCATTCTGAAGAGCAGGATTTATTAAAATCTATAAAAAGTAAAACAAGTCTCATTTGCTAGAGAACACATATTAAAATTCAAATTGTAGGTATCTATGGTAAAGCTAAAAAAATATTCAAATTAGATGAGCAAGATTTGGAGCAGTTCAGGAAAGAGCTAAATTTAGAGAGAAATCTTGTAGAGGAACCTCAAGATCCAGGACCCACGAAATCGTACACTGATTACTTCAAAGAAGTCCGGAGAGATAGGCTAGAGCATCGGACAACAGAAACAAATAAGCTAATTATAAGGCTAGATCGTCTTCTGCAATTAGATGGATCAGATCGTAAACTACATGAACAAGAACTTGTAGCTTGGATAGATGGAACTTCAGTCACTAGGTGTCCATCATGTGCATCTTCTTTCAATCTTGTTGTACGTCAGCATCACTGTAGGCTGTGTGGGAGCATCATGTGTAATTCATGTTCATATTTCCTGTCATATGAAACTGCTGGTAAGAATCATTATCAAATAGTGGTGGCAGGTGGGTTGACTGTGTTGTACTATCCATGAAAATTTGCAATCAATCTGGTTGATATCAGTTTTGTTTCCATACTTAATGCCATATGAACTATGACTCAAAAGAAACTGAATATCAAAACTTGACTAGGTATGTTTGCTTTCCTACCACTTGTTGAACAATTAAAACATTTATTATTATGATGTAGTAAAACTCTACAGTTAGCATCTGATACTATGAAAAGTATTTGTTTTAGTGGCAAATGTATGGACTAAATGTATTATGCACAATATTGCTGATATCATTCACTTCTTAATAATTTAATGTCTTTTGCTGATACCATACACCATATCAGTCAGTTATGTGCCTCCATTTCCACTAACCCGTGGTCAAATACATGCCACATACTTAGTGCCTGTGTGGAGGCAAAGCAAATGTCAAATAGTTGTAGTCACCATTCTTGGAGGTTACATCATCAATGCCATACGAAATAAGTAAACAGATTGAGCCTCCATACCATGGGCGGATCTTAATTTTCCTAACTGAGGTAAACCGATTCAAAACTATTTACCAACCGTAATTCTCAAAAATCTTCTAATCTAGTACATAAACATGGGTAGAGTGTGACACGCTATTTGATGTTTTTTAAAGTTGAAATAAAAAATACATACAGAATTTACAGTATAATACAAAATAACCCATCTATTTGCTAACTTGATGGAACATTTAACATTGTATGTGGATATGTGACAAGCTTATGAGAGCTTTAGAAGAACCATCTTCAATAATAAAAATGCTCAATTCTTTCTGGAGTGAAATGCGAGTAAATAAAGTACTGCTAGACAAAAAAGCACATTTTGATGATGGTGCTCTTAAACTCGAGCTTTTAAATCTAAGTTGCCTTAATAAACATCAAGCTTGTAACTTCCATATGTATCAAAATATTTAACCTGAACTTTCTCTCAAGTAAATGATTACATATATTAGTCTCCTCTCTATTAAACACTTGATGTTTTTTCCAGTCGTTTTTAATCAAGTCCTCAGTATGTTTCACACACTTGGCCCAAACTGTAGGAGTCACCTTTGCTAGAGCATGATCCCAAACTTTTAAAACTTCCTTGTATAGCCATTTTCTTCAATATGACTAACTCAATAGGGTTGTATTGACAGTGGCAAGGGGGAAGCCATAAAACTTGATGTCCATATTCATGTAATATTTTGTCTATGATATATCTTGGAGCCGATGGTTTATTAAGGCGACATAGATTTAAAAGCTCGAGTTTAAAATCATCATCAAAATGTATCTTTTTGTCTTGCATCTATTGCTTCAATTGGGTATTTTTTCTGTTAAGGCACTATGTTAAGAGGCATTATTCATGATTACTAGTGATCGCTCTTGTAATGCTGGTATCAGCTTCTCACATACCCATTTTATGGAAAAATCTTTGTCCATGAGATCGTGGTAGTCAGCACTTTTTGATTTAGGAGCAAATAACTGTGCAGTATCTCTTTCTAAAACCGGTTTTGATCCCAGCATGGAGAAGAACATACTGCTTGTCAGTATCCTGATGGCCGCTTTTCAAACTTTCTACGTTTTTATCTTGTCAAACTCGTTTAAATGACCCTTTGGTAAATATCCACGTTTCATCTAAGAAAACGCATTGGAGAGGGCTTGTACTATTCAGGTTATTCATATGTTTCATAAAATAGATACGTTTGGAAACAATGTCTGATTTTTCACACAAGAATCGGCGGTTATTTTCTTCCTTGTAGGAAAAACCGCAAGCTTTCAATAGACGCATAAAACTTGAATCCGAGGCGTAGTATATGTATCTTTTTTAAGCTCCTGACGACGCGATATGTTGTCCTTTACTTCTCATATTGTAGAAAGTATTCCTGATTTCTGTTTTGCGGCATCACTTACATCATCAGTCTTGTATTTTTTGATTTTGCGAGTTTCCTCAGGTGTTTCTAAGGGCAAACCTTTCTTATTTTCTGATTTTATCCACTGAACACTGACTAATCTTCAGCGCATCTGCTACTCTCTCCAGTACGCATGAAGTGGGTAACAGGGGACTCCTATTTTCATTCTCTTCATGGAAATACTGTAAGTTGTCATTCCGACAAATATAATTGTAGGGCACTCATACGTAACGACAAAGTTTTCGAGCCGAAGACACACAACTAAAAAACGTAGGCCTTTGAGCTTACCGCACAAACGTTCACACAGGCGTAGGTTGCATGTGTATGTATGAGGGAGATGGATATATATATATATATATACAGGGTGACTTCGAAGTTGAGTCATTTATTTTAACAGTGAGTAGATCTGATCAAAAGAAATGTTTTTTTCCTTTACCATTTTTCTGGTAAAATTAAAGTAACAAAGTTATAGCTCTTTGGAAGTTTGAGTACCGCCCTGTCTCAATAACAATATTATGTGGTCGTGTTTGGCGACAATGGATATAATCCGCCGTATCGGTTCATCGCATCGGAAACAAAAAAGCGAAAGAATTTGGAACGATGTTTTTACAAGTATATCATTCATTTGTATACAGTCAGTGTCAGTGAATAGTGGTATGTGTTGCGTGGCTCAAACGAAATAAAAAATGGCACATGTTTATGCGGATCGGTTTCCCAATCGAGTGCAACCAACCCCTCGTGCCTTTGTTAATGTAGTACAACGGGCTTGTGAATCAGGTGACTTAAGACCTCACAGGGGACCTCACGATCAAATACAGGTCCGCACTGAAATACTTGTCGGGAGGATACTTTATAAAACAAGGTAAAAATTTTTTTTTATTTTTTTTTTATTTTTACACACATATTTTGGTTTATCTTCCTTCTACAATCATTATCTGAAAATTAATGACTCAACTTCAAAGTCACCCTGTATATATATAAAGGGATACTGGTAGTCTAACTTTGACCCTCCAAGAACGGTGACTACAACTCTATGCCTTAGAGGTAAATGATCGTAACTCCATTTTTGCAGTTTTTGTGATTATCTGCGTATAATTAGTATCCCTGGTTAATTTTTAGGAAATAAAAGATATGGTGAAACCTGAATCCGAAATGAAATTTTCATTAGTGGTAATAACAATAATAACCATAAATAGGCAGAGGTATTCACAGTCTTCCAAACTCTGTTGCTATGCAAACAAATGAAATCTGATAATTTCAAGGCCTACCTAGGAACTACTGGAATAAATAAGGTTTTGCAATGTCTATGTATGACATACATTTTTTAAATCAGAATAAAATTTTTATTCATGAGTGTAAGAATCCAATTTGGCGTCTATAAGAAAAAATTAAGTTGATGCTGGAGGACAAGAGACGAAACGTCATATTGAAATTCTAATTATGCCGTCATGTAGAGGTGAAAATGTGTCAGATTCATGTGCAATTTATTTTGAAATCCCACCACAAATAATGTCAGGAGAAAATTAAAACCATTTTGGGAAATTTCGTTTTTTACGTTTTTATCTTGTCAAACTCGTTTAAATGACCCTTTGGTACATATCCACGTTTCATCTAAGAAAACGCATTGGAGAGGGCTTGTACTATTCAGGTTATTCATATGTTTCATAAAATAGATACGTTTGGAAACAATGTCTGATTTTTCACACAAGAGTCGGCGGTTATCTTCTTCCTTGTAGGAAAAACCGCAAAACTTTCAATAGACGCATAAAACTTGAATCCGACGCGTAGTATATGTACCTTTTTTAAGCTGCTGACGACGCGATATGTTGTCCTTTACTTCTCATATTGTAGAAAGTATTTCTCATTTCTGTTTTGCGGCATCACTTACATCATCAGTCTTGTATTTTTTGATTTTGCGAGTTTCCTCAGGTGTTTCTAAGGGCAAACCTTTCTTATTTTCTGATTTTATCCACTGAACACTGACTAATCTTCAGCGCATCTGCTACTCTCTCCAGTACGCATGAAGTGGGTAACAGGGGACTCCTATTTTCATTCTCTTCATGGAAATACTGTAAGTTGTCATTCCGACAAATATAATTGTAGGGCACTCAAACGTAACGACAAAGTTTTCGAGCCGCAGACACACAACTAAAAAACGTAGGCCTTTGAGCTTACCGCACAAACGTTCACACAGGCGTAGGTTGCATGTGTATGTATGAGGGAGATGGATATATATATAAAGGGATACTGGTAGTCTAACTTTGACCCTCCAATAACGGTGACTACAACTCTATGCCTTAGAGGTAAATGATCGTAACTCCATTTTTGCAGTTTTTGTGATTATCTGCGTATAATTAGTATCCCTGGTTAATCTTTACGTGGAGTAAATGAGCGTAGCGCCTAACCACGATACCCATGAAATATATGAAATAGAACAAGCAGCTAGTGATTTTTTGTTAGAGGTAAACAGTCGATCCTTCTTACATACGCACAATACTATGATATGAATCAACGCTACGCAGCGGTAATCAGTCGTGTCTCCGTCGCGCACCGCTTGCTTTACAAACTGTGTTGTTCAATCATTCTTCAAAGTTGATCAAGGTGCTTAATTAACCAAAAATCGGTAATAATGTCCTCAAAGGCTCAAAACAGGAACATTATGATTAATATTCCTGTGCTGGGTCAACAAGGACATGATGACGACGACGACGATTGAATATGTATTCTCCAGATGTCATTTTTTGTAATAATAAAATGTATTATCATAGTAAATAGTCGTCACTCACAAAATAATCGGAATATCAAATTCTAAGATCATTAACATGAAGCATTACTGTTCTGTGTACCATATGTTTTCCCAGAAAACTATATTCGCATATTAACAGTAACATGAACAAAAATCCATTCTGCTACTAACTCAATCTTTAATTTGCTTGTTCTCTGAATTGCATTATATGGAGTTACAACTATATACCTCTAAGGCACAGAACTATACCTGTACCTTTGCTGCTGTAAGGGATACGAAGTGGCTTAAATGGGGTAGTCAACAAAATGACACTTAGAAGGTTTCGAAATTCAAAGTACTTCCGTAGAGTAACGGAAAAACTGAATTTTCCCAAAATCGTTCTGATTTTTTCCTGACTTCCTTATATTGGGATTTCAAAATAAATTGCACACTAACAGTGCCACGTTTTCTCCTCTACAAGAAGGCATAATCAGAATTTCTATATGACGGATCGTCTCTTGTCCTCCAGCATCAAATTATTTCTTAAGGACGCTATATTCCTTTTTTGGCACAGATGAATAGAGTTTTTAATTTTGATTCAAAAATGCAAAAGACGTCATACATTGACGTTGTCAAACCTTGATTACTTAAAAAAAAAACAGAATTACTTAGGTAGGCCTTAAAATTATCAGATATTTGTTTCGCTCACCAGATTTATCCCAAAATTGCTTTTTTCCCCCACTCTATTTGAGATGGGATGTCAAAATAAATTGCATATTGTCATTGTTACTTATTCTCATCTACAAGATGGCATAGTCAAATTTTCAATTCGACATTTTTTCTTTCGACTTCCACCATCCATTTTTGTTCATACGTATACTATTGGAGTTTTATACATTTAAATGGACTTTTCAGCCCTAAATTCAGTGATTGTTAGTTGACCATAAATTTGCTGTTGGATGAAAATTGAAAGGAAATAAAAGATATGGTGAAACCTGAATACGAAATGAAATTTTCATTAATGGTAATAACAATAACCATAAATAGGCAGAGGTATTCACAGTCTTCCAAACTCTGTTGCTATGCAAGCAAATGAAATCTGATAATTTCAAGGCCTACCTAGGAACTACTGGAATAAATAAGGTTTTGCAATGTCTATGTATGACATACATTTTTTAAATCAGAATAAAATTTTTATTCATGTGTGTAAGAATCCAATTTGGCGTCTATAAGAAAAAATTAAGTTGATGCTGGAGGACAAGAGACGAAACGTCATATTGAAATTCTAATTATGCCGTCATGTAGAGGTGAAAACGTGGCAGATTCATGTGCAATTTATTTTGAAATCCCACCACAAATAAAGTCAGGAGAAAATTAAAACCATTTTGGGAAATTTCGTTTTTTACGTCTCTTTCCGGAAGTACTTTCAATTACAAAACTTTCTATGCGATATTTTGCTGATTCTCTGAATACATAACTTTGCCCCTATTTAAGTCACTTCGTATATTTAAGTAACTTCGTATCCCTTGAAGTTTCCGAGATCCCAATGGTGAGGGTCGAATTTAAAATAACTTGTATAGGGAAAATATTATTTTCACCCCAACAGGAACAGTCACTCCCTCACCGTGGGCACCCGTGAGAAAAAGCTGTATCACAAAATCTCCAGAATTAGTTATTTTGTTTATTTTTTCATCAGCTTTGGGTTGGACTTACACAGCTAAAATATATAAATACTGTTTGTGCATACACTTCGAGGCTGGGCGACAGGGAAACAGGGAACAAACTACTACTACTATCCGAGTTTTATTAAAAGTCATTTACAATACTTTGTACATTTCTCATGCATAAACACTGCAGATGTTTATTCAGAATTCTTACTATGTATTTATTTCTTCAACCTGTCATTCGACGTGTAATCATATTTATTCGAATTTATGTTTATACATTTTATATGAGAATTGAATGATAATTACTGAGTAAATCTACTTGACATTTTTTGGTGCTATTATTTTTTTTAGAAAGTGTCCATGTTTTCCGCTCTAGAGGAAAATTCGAGCACATTTGGGCAGTTGGACAAAATATCCTAGATCTTTCTCGTTTACAGCAAATGTACCCCTAACTTTTCCAAAATTGTCTACTTCATTCTGAAAAATTTTACATTCGAATAATTATTGTACTTGATTTCAAGCTCTAACAATTTACTGGCAAATTATCGGCTGACTTATTTGACAGTCATCAAACAGTCAGAAGTTTCTGTACGAACAGCGGATTAATTGTCGGTAATCGGTCCGACCTCCCTCAGCTAACTCGTAACGTTCTCATTACGCAATTAATATAGTCAGCGACGTGTCAGTGACAGCTAACTGCGTAAACTAGGTCATGACTTGTCACCGACTATCAGTTTGCTGATTGTCAGCAAACAGGCTGTACGAACAAACCATATGACAACATTTTATCGAAATCTGACTGTTACTTTGCAGGTTATGTAGGAGTCAAGCATTAGCTGACAGGCAGACCGACTGACAGACCCACAGAGATACAAGATTTTTCGTGATTTACATGTCATGTAGTTTGTAGTACACTTCCTCGCCAATTGGCATGGAAAGTAACAATATGGTTTTTTAAAAGCATCATTCATATCTCAAAAACAGCCGTGTGGATGTGACCTTTTTCATAGCTAATTGTCATTATTTTGGATGACTGTTGCCCCATGAATATTTTCTCACATAAAAAGCAGCTTATTCTATGTAGACATTTTTCTTAAATTGTGATGCTTGAAAATTTTGAGTTATACACACAGCTATACAACACGGAAACTGCCGGGTCTCGTCTGATTCTCTGAAACTAAGCAGCACTGGATGCGGGGTAGTACTTGGATGGGTCACCGCTTGAAACACTGCATGTTGTTAGCTTTTTGATCTCATGTTTGCAGTGTAATTGGTGTTATTATTTTCTTGTTATTGTTTATGGTGGTTTAGTATTATAGAGTTTCATGTTATAGTGTACTTGAGTGGACATACCTAGTCCGGTTTCGTTTTCTTTTCTTTTTTCTTTTGTTATATCAGGTAGAATACTATTTTTAAAGGGGTTTATTGAGTCGCAACTTACTTGAACACATATAGTATATGAGTTTGAGTACAAAATTTACAAACAATGTTACAATTACAGAGGAAATAGTCACTCCAGTAAAAACCTTTAATGGAAGAGAGCATAGATCATCTAAAGAATCAGATAGTATAAGGATATGTCAGCACTGTTTGGACATGCTTGAAAGTAGGAGAAAAGCCCAAGTTGAACAAATGATGCAGCCAATTATTTGTCAATTATACAGTCACTTACAGAAAAGTAAGCAACAGATTCAACATTCTGTTGACATGTATTCTAAGGTAGGCAAACCTTTCATTATAGTATGCTGTCTTTGTTTCTGAATATAATTATTTTACTACTATTTTCATGTAGATGCACAATTCTATTTCATTGGGGGAGGCAACTTATGCTCTGCAAGATTTACACTCTCTCCGAACGACCATAGCAGACAAGGCTCAGATGATAGACACTTTGAGTAAGAAGATTGCCTCTCTACCAGTAGATCCTAACACACCAAAAGCAGTAACTCTCCAAAATAGCATTAGAAAAGCCACCTCTGTGTACATTAAAGATTACCTGCTTAGTCAGCCTCCACCACCAACATTAGAGCAGTTAGAGCAGATAAAGCAAGGACGCTCTCTCAAAAATGCAGATGATGATGACTTGATCCCCAGGGAGAGACTAAGGATTACTAAAGTGACTGTAACTACTGGATGGTCTCCAGCTAATGTCAACAATGAAAGGTATGTCAGATTATTTTCAATGCATCAACTGGTTTGTGTAAAGATTTTTGCTCATTTTTATTTATTTTATTATACTGTATCATATTAAGATCGTACCATAAAATGAAGATTTAAATAGTGTAGAGTCTTGGTTTTCAAATAATATGTGTCCAAATGTTGATAAACGCTTTTCAGATCAATTAGCCAACAAGGATCACTTTAAGGAAATGTATCTTCATTAATAAAATTGTATAATGCCCTTGTAATGCCACTTTTAAAATATGCCTTAGTAATTTGGTATCCTACAGGAGAGATATGATGTGATATGCATAAGCAAGTTTCAAAGAGGTTTCTGTGACACTTTTACTTTAAGCGTATTGAGCGGAGGCGGCACAAATTAGCCCCAAATATAATGTGCGCCGGGCAACAGATCAACGGTGTGATATTTTACAGATCAATAAAAGTTGCGCGAAGTTTCGTTACCATAAGGATTTTTTCGCGAGTCCATGGTGTAGCACAGTTCAGTACCGGGAATGGCTACTCAAATTATTACGAAGAGCGGGAATAGTAGAAGACGGATGTGACGTCATCCAAATGTCAAAAAATCACGTGGTACGGTTAACTGCCTAACGTCGGTGAGGTACTAGCGGGCGACAAGACATATGTCAATGTCATTTAAAAAACAGACATCTTGATTGGAAAAATTTCTTCGCATTGCCGAAAATTGAGTTAAAATATTAAATCGTAAATGGTTTTAAATGACGAGGGAGATTACTATGAGGTTATTGTAGATATGGGAACATGCATTGCACAAAAAACGATCGGTATTTTTATTTCAGAGTCGAAGAAGGCATCTAAGTGTATCAAGGAGCTTCAAGCAAAAATTTTGCGCAACATCAGCCATCTAACTAATCCCGCACGGGTATCATGTAAACAACCTATAAAACGTCAAAAAAAACCTATAAGATGTCAACTTGTAGACAGTCATTCCACGTTTGCTCACTAGGATTGTTGTGAACTCCCCCATCTATGGAGGAATCACTCAACTAAACTACGCATTATTGGTTGCATAGTTTTTTGAGGCTGAGTGATCCGCAGGGATGTTCCGACATGCACAATTATGCATATTATGCACAATTTTACGAATATATGCACGCACCCCCCACGCAAAACATGCACAATCGCCAATAAATAAAGTGCATTTTTTTATACAAAACTGGAAATGAATTTTCTTAGCAGATGCATGAACGAGTGAAATGTACTGTTAGACACATACAAAATACTAATCCAATAATTATTTGTTACGCATCCGAGTCCCGATGATTGTTCATAATTGATGGTCTTAGTTAAATTTAATAAATAAATATTTGTTTATTCTTGTATTATTTTCTTAAAGTCGCATTAAACAATAAAAAGGTTCCATGAAATTTAATTTTTTTTAAATGGGCGGTTGCGCCAGAAAATCAGTATACATATATGCACATTTTTAAAGAAATATGCACAATTTCTATTAACATCTTTGCACAATTCAAAATCCATCGAGAACAACACTGGTGATCCGGTTCTGTAGTTTTTATCTCTGAGAAGAAAGTTGGTTGAATAGCAAGATCGCATCTGGATGTTATGTGTATAAAATCAGTGATATTTGCTGTGAGAGAAAATCATTACTGAATATGCCGAATATGACGGGTTATTTATATGTTGTGCTTTCTGAAGAGAGGTTATGTTCAAAGTTATAAATTACGAAAAACTGAGGAGAATTACGGGAAATCATCACCGCGCCCGCATTGTGTGTAATTACTGTTAGCATGTATATGGCTTGTAATTCGACAGTGTACAGTGAATATAATTATTTCTTATCTCTCATTTTTGAAATTCAGCAAATTTGTATATGTAATTTCCAGAATGGATAAGAAAAAGTGGATGCCCAACTAATTTCTAGCTTTGAATCTCAATTAAGTGTATTTGAGACAAGAACCCAATGTAATTATCATCAATACATACAACTTACAGATTTTACATCACATCAGATCCAAAGATTGATAACAAGCCTCATGACGTTTAGGCAACATGTACAACTCAGTTCTAGGTTAACATCTTATAGAATAACCTACATGATGTCAAAAAAAAACCGGCATAATGTCAAAAAAAATCGGCATAATGTCACTTTTCAAGATACGTGATACCCGTGCGGGTCTGTAACTTTTGTCTCTGAGAAGAAAGTTGGTTGAATAGCAAGATCGCATCTGGATGATTATGTGTATTGGTCTGCATGTGTATAAAATCAGTGATATTTGCTGTGTGTCAAAAAAAAAACCCATAAGATGTCAACTTGCAGACTAGGTAGCAGATTTTACATCACACCTGATCCAAAGATTGATAACAAGCTTCATGACGTTTAGGCAACACGTACAACTAAGTGCTAAGTTAATATCTTGTAGAATAACCTACATAGTGTCAAAAAAAAACAGCATAATGTCAAAAAAAAATCGGCATAATGTCACCTTTCAAGATATGTGATACCCGTGCCGGTGTAACTTGGAACTGTCAAAACTTCGAGAGGAGGGGGCAATTCCATCTGTTCCCGCTCCATTTACTATGGGATCTTGCAAAAAAATCTTTCATGTTTGTATTATACGCGTATGATATGCGTTTGGAAGATGGCATCTCACACCATGGTGGATAGAAGGATTTAATGAACGATCAATTTTTAGAGAAAAAAAACGAGATATAATATATTATAATATAAATTATAATAACATCAGTGCGAAAGTAATTTATTTGTCAACTGCTACAATATGTCAGTTACACAACACATAAAGTCAATAGGAATCTATTTCCGGGGGAAAAAAGTAATTTCATAAAAAGTGACATTTTGTTACCTGCCAACAGAGATAAAATGTCAAACTTTGTTCCCGTCACAGAAAAAAAGTATGATTTATTTGTCAACTGCTACAATTTGTCAGTCACACAACACATAATGTCAGTAGGAATCTCTCAACAACTTACAGAGAGATTATATATATATATATATACAATTTTATGTTTTTAAAAGCTTGATGCTATATTCAACATAACCTTCCTTATTTCAAGCAATTGCAGCATAATTACGACATAAGGGTTGGTCATCTTGACATTTTATTAGCATGTAGCGATCATGCGCCATGCGTGATTTGTATTATTATATTACGTGGTTGATCCGCTGCTATATGCGACGTACTGGATTTGATTTAAGTATAATGAGCATTGATCTTTGAATATTAACACCACATTCCGTAATATGAGCACCCGTCTTTCACTCATTTTAATATTTTTTGCAATCACTTGAAGGACGGCACCTGAAGATGCTGACCCACTTCTAGAACAGATGAATAATGTACGAAGTTACATTGATCAAGCAAGGAAAGCTCATCGCTATGAGGAAGTTGCGTCATTAGAAGAGAATTTAAAGATGCTAAAAGAAATTTACCGAAAGCAGCAAAGAGAAAAAACGGGTAGAAAGTCGGATTAAATAAGGTAAAATCCATATATCAATATATTATATATGGTATACGCTGTTTCAAAACAAATGTTACTTATTTGGTGATCGATGCTTAGTCAAGATGACAGAATAATATTTGTTAATCACCACATGGAATTAGACAGTTTCACTGGAGATGACACGATAATTGCCGCTTTATTGCAAAACAGTCCGTTTTGATAATAGATATACGTGTAGTGAAGTAAAAAGTCTCATTCAAAAGATGGACCAAACATGCCTCTTGATGATAGCTCCCGAATTACATAATTTTACCATTTATCGAACGTTCGCATCGAATGCCAACCGGCATTTTTGTAAGATATCAAAAAAATTTGTTTTCAAGTTTTTTTTTTAATAATAGAATGATATTTCGTTTATTTCGATGCATTCCGCGTCAAGCAAACCTTATATAATACACAGCTTGACGACAGCGCTAAAAAGATTAAATGTGGGTATTTAGCCTTTGATGACTGATAAAATGGTTAATGTGTTAACCCCTTATTTTTTTATAGAAAAAAATATAAATAAGAAAATTATCTCAGAATTACGTAAAAAATATCAAAATAATTATTTCTGGGTCAATTTTTCCGAAAATCGATTATTTTTTGTTGTGCCATATATGGCACAATATCCAACAAAGCAACATGTATCAATAATAAAAAGATAATTGTATGGGCATATTTATTTATAAATAAAATTATTCTATATGAAACCTGTAAACACAATTTCTGTCTTTGTTTAAGCACAGATAAACATTACATTTTTCGCATTTTATATAACTTTTTGCACCGCAAGTATATTTGCATCGTTGTCTCTCCATACACCATATTGGAAGATGACCATATCCATCTGTTCGAACATCTTGCATTGGAACATCAGTCGCTGGACCCCTTTTTGCCCTATTTTGTGAATTTGCCATAGCTTCACTTGGACGGCCTCTTTTTCTAGTAAATCTGGATTTATTGACGTTACACAAGCATTCTGCTACTGCCATTTTGAAATCTACTAAAGCTAAATCACTGAACTCATTGCCACTTCTTCTCCAGAGTATCCATGCATTGACAGTCATAAATCAATAATATGAAAAAATATGCGCATGTACAATTTTTTCGATCTGATTTTGATTCTATAGTATCCCAGCATGGAGTTCAGCAGGTCCACACCTCCCATATACTTGTTGTATATTGTTACAGATTTTGGACATGGTATCATTATATGTGTTTTATCCTTTTTTGAAAATCGCTTGACCTCGGCTGTTGGCGTACTTCCAGCATATGTCGATAAAGTGCTTACCAACTTGTTGTCATACCATGTAACAACAGATAGTTTGGTGCCATCAACTGTAGCGATTTTCTCTAACATAGCTCCACGACCCTCTTTTTTTAGTTCACTCTCTTTTGGCATATTAGAATTTGGCACTCTGTTTATTCTTACTGTTCCTAGTGGTAACATACCCTGCTTTGTCAGATAAATTTGTAATGGGATGCTATTGAACCAATTATCAAAAAATATTTTGTGATTTATGTGTCTTGGCACTGTTTGTGTTAGCCGGAGTACTACATTCGAACTTACCCCCAAATCAGGAAAGCCATCCGGTACAGTATTAGTTTGACTTCCAGCAAATATTTCATAGTCATATGAAAATCCGCTAACACCACTCTGTACAAACGCTTTATATCCCCATTTATGGGGTTTCTGTGAATTATATTGTTTCAGCGTCGAACGTGATTTTGTAGGAATAATCTGCTCATCTACGGCAAGATATTCTTCTTTTGGAACTTTGAGTAACTGATCCCTAAAGACGGGTCCACACTATGTAACAAAATATGTTAATGACAAAGTTGTACAACAAATTTGCTGTACAACTTTGTTGTGTAACTTGTTATAATATAGCACAAGCATCCAGACTATATAACAAAATACAAAACAAAAAAGTGCGCATAATTTTCGCAGCATTTTAGCTGGTAGGTGGTAGTATGTAAAATGTCGTCAAACGTAGAGGATGCCATAATGGCAGCAGCAGCTTGCGTAATTTTGTGCAAGCGACACCGACGTGTAAAGCGAAGATTTTGGGTGCGGCCTTCATTAAAAGCTCGAGAAATATATAGTGTTACAGCTCTTTTAACTGATCTGAAAAGAGATGACCTAGACCCATCGACAGGAGACATTAAATGTGATGGCAGTTTTAAAAACTTCTTAAGAATGACAAGTTCTGATTTTGACTATCTTATAAATGAAATCGGCCATAAAATAGGCAGGAAAGACACAACATTTCGAGATGCAATTCCAGTGAAGAAAGATTAGCAGTTACGATGAGATTCTTAGCAAGTGGAGATTACTACCAAAGTTTAAGCTATTTATTTAAATTTTCTAAGCAGAGTAATTCGAATATTATGCCAGAAGTTTGTGACGCTCTCATTGACTGTTTAAGAGATATAATCAAAGTAAGTATATTTTTTACACTTTTTATCCATTTAGTTTCATAGAGAAAGTAACATTTGCGTAAAATTTAATTCATCATCGGTATCTGCACCTGTGCATGATTGAGTGTCAGTGTCTGTTTGAATTGGTGTAGCTAGGGCAGTTACGGGTGTAGGTGTAGTGGACGGAATGGAGGATGCCTCAGGTATATTGTATGATTTAGTGCCTGTTTGATCTGATGTAGCTGGTGAAGCAGCGGGCGTCGGTGTAGCGAACGGAGTGGTGGATGTCCCAGGTTGAATGTCTGAACACTCTGCTCTATAGAGAATATTATTTATTTCAAATTTGGCGTAGATTTGCACCGATTTGCTCTTAAGATTTCGCAAGGTGGTCGCTACATATTCACCATACACATCAAAGTCATCTCGCTTTTTCACGTTACTTGATAGTTCTTTCATTACCGCGTACGCTTCTTCAGATTTCGTGTCTTTTGCCATTCTCTTGTTGCCTTTAGTTATAGGTATACGTGCAATAGTTTCATTTACTGTTTTTTCTTGACGTTTTTTTGTATCATTTTGCACCTTTGCATGTGGCTGTGATCGCTCTTCTTCCTATAAAATCAGAAAAAACCGAAAATCGTATTTTGATATATAACTTGTATATAACGATTAAAGGCCTGTTTGAAGAAGACGCATCACAAACCAGTCAGGGTCAATGATTTAATCTAAAAATTGTCACATGTCAATTCTCTGACTGTTTCTGAGCTGTCCGATTGGCTCTGACTGGTTTGTGATTCTTCTAGAAACAGAACTTAAAACATGTATTGAAATGAATATAATAATATAGCATAATTCCTCTTTCTTCAGGTACCCAAATATCAAGAGGAATGGCAACAGATTGCAAATGATTTTGACCAGAAGTGGAATTACCCTCACTGTTGTGGCAGTATCGATGGAAATCACATATGCTTACAAGCTCCAATAAATACTGGAAGCGACTATTTCAATTACAAGGGATTTTTCAGCATAGTGCTTTTGGCTATAGTGGACGCTAGCTATTGCTTTACGTTTGTAAATATAGGTTGCCAATGTCGTTTGTCTGATGGCGGAGTATTTGCTAATACAACATTTAAAAAGTTACTTGAAACCTCTTCCTTGAATCTCGCATCAATGAAAGTTTTACAGGGAAGAATATCAACTTCACCTTTTGTGTTTCTTGGCTTTACAGCCGCATATGATGACACCCTTCCCAGGCACTCAACAGTAAGGGTCACCGGCTCGGATTTACAATTACAGACACAGCAGAGCAAGACGTGTAGTCGAAAATACATTTGGAATTATATCTGTTATATTCAGGGTCTTTAGAAAACCAATGCTTCTTGAGCCTCAAAAGGCAGAAAAGGTAGTTTTAACAAGTTGTTATCTCCATAATTTTCTTCGAAAAGGTCAATCAACTTCATCCTACTGTCCACCAGGAACTTTTGATTCAGAGGACGAGCTGACGGGAGAATTAATACCTGGTACATGGAGAGTCGAAGGTCAGCCAAATGGTACTTTGCTAAAACTTAAAAAGATTCCCAGGAAACATACCGTGCTAGGCAAAGAAATACGAGAGGAGTTTTCTTTGTACTTTACCAGTAAGGAGGGGAAAGTGCCGTGGCAGAATAATTTTTGATTTCAAATTGGTTATTAATTTAAAGTGTGCTTACCTCAACCGCAGTGATATTCCCAGTGTCCCGTGTCTCAGTATCTTGCTTGGGAGATAGACCACCTTCAGTAGAATGACGTGCCCATTATAAAAAAAAGCCATTTTGTTTTAAAAGGGGCATCAGCTCCATCGCCACTATTTCCTTTTTTCAATTCACGCTGAAATTGCCCAATCAGCATGCGCATTTTTTTCAACTTCATTTGTATCTGTTTTGACTTCTGCGGCTATTTCAGTCCATGCGTCGTGTTTTTTATTTCTATTTTAAAAATCCATAAATGTAGGATCCCATAATACTCGTTGCTCACGAAATAGTTCAATTAAATGAGTAGTCAATTCTTTCGACCATTCCATCGTGAACAGATCAATGAAAAATGTAGCAAAACAAACAAGACGATGTGACACCGACGGTTCCCGTTCTTGTACTACTCCAAACACTATTCACAGTGACAGGGAATGTTTCAATAATCTATTTTTAAGTGTAGACCAGTCACACTGCGATTTTACAACAAAGTTTTATAACTTTCTTTGATCTTTACCGACAACTGATGGATAACATAAAACATGCTATATAACCTGCAAAATGTTATACAACACTGTGTTTTATAACTTTTTTATCTAAAATTCTGTAACAAGTTACAAAACTTTGTTATTTAACATGTTTTGTTACATAGTGTGAACCCGTCTTTAGTTTACTGAGTAACGGCCGAATTTTGAAAAATTTATCATGTCCTGGGTTGCCGACAGCAATAGCGTCATTATTATTTGAGAAATGTAAAAATCTTTTTATTTCCTCCCATCTGTTGCATGACATAACATCTGATATCAATCGGTGACTTAGGTTCAAGTTCCAATAGCTTCTAGCATTTGGTAACTGCACTATTGACATATAAATACATGTCCCAAAGAACTGTTCTAGCTCCTTTTCAGAAAGATCTAAAGGTTGTTGTGGTCTTTTTTGCACTGAATATAAAAGACTTTCTTACACTATATGTTTGGTCAATTCATATGTTAGAAAGAACTTGAAAAATGTGTAAGGGGAGTCTACACCTTTCAATTCAGGAGGCAAGTCTGTATACCTAAAAATTTCAGATCATCGTCTGATGATACTAAATTTCCTTGAGTCCAGGTAGGATGAGTATGTTTTTTATTCTTCTTTAGCCTGCGTCGCAATTCATCTAGGGAAACATCATCGTCCTCGCTATCTGAACTGTTTTCTAAATCGGTTTCTGGGATAATAATATCTGGTGCATTATTATTTACACCATCACATTCATAGTCAGATTCCGGGGCCAATATAATGGTTGGATTATCATCGTCTGATAATTGTTCATCATCACTATCCACTGGTATATCTGATACAAGATTTTTCGAACCATAAAACTTTTGTGGCTCCATTACCTTGAAATAAATAGAACTTAAAATAATAAGGTTCAGAATGCATGTTGTGCCATATATGTGCAAAACAGTTTTGCACAAAAGTGCATACTGTTCCATATATGGCACAAATACATTTTTGGTCAAAAATCAGTAAAATATAAAGAAATACTTGAATCTACTCACAGGAATGCTTTATATAGGTTGTATTCCAAATGGTGCTATTTTCAATAATCCAAAATGTCCAGTAGAAATCTCTAACTTTGCAGATCAAAATTCACAACCTTTAGCATCAGCTGTTTCTTGACCACCATTTGCAAATTTTCATAAAACTTTACAATGCCGCGTTGAGATGGCGTTACATTGCCAGGTATGATGGACTTGTGCCATATATGGACAGTTATGCATAAGTAGTTGAGCATGATGCGTTTTGTAATGAATAAATTGAAAAAAATATAACTGTGACAGATATGACGCACTATGCAGTAAGGGGTTAAGAGGAAGTTATACAAAAGTTTTTTGCATTTGTTTTGGAACACTTGCCCAGGAATCAGCAATATCACATAGTTGCATCCACAGACGCATTTCTGTTATCATAGTATTGTTATAGGAATAGTTACTTTTTTCTACAGTTTCTAGTCACTTTCATATGCCCCTTGATACCCAGCCCATTACGCATTTAGTTATTTTAAAGTTATCCATTTAATAATAAGTTCATGTTACCAAAACAAAGTTGTATTCGGTTTTAATAGAAAGATTAGAAACGCTGGTCGAATGGTGCATCTATACCCCCAGTTGTATCAGGTCATAATTTCATGAATGTGAATGTGTTTTCATTTGCAGGTCAGAAAAATATGTCCATTCTTACACCTATTTATTTGTATCGTATTAAAATAGATACGCATAAATAAATACAATTATATATTGGAATAATATCTTATTTTTTATATATTCTTTGGAATTCATCCTATATGTGCTTACATACATTTTCGCATCAAAGTGCCAGTTGAAAATTTCTAGATAGCAGCTGGGTGCCGTCTTAGAACAATTTTTTAGGTGGAGTGAGGTTTATGTAGAACCATATTTTGAAGCTCCTCATGAGTACTTTATCAACTTTTGGTGAAAGTGTACCTGCCCCAAAGACTTTTTCAAGAGCAGAAGGTAGCGGAGAGGGCCACATCCTAAGAATACCCAAAATTGTACTCAAAATTATCCTAAATATGCAAAATGTAATATCCAGCCGGATTATCAGGGAAGGAGTCATATTCTGGATTATGAAGTTACTATCCGTTAAAATGGTGAATTGGCCAAGTTGAATGTTTTTGCACATTGAATCGTTTATAACTCAACGACAAATCATCAAAACTCTCAACGCTGGCAGCCTGTCAGTCCACGATTTTGAAATACAGCATTTGTATATACTAGTTATTCAAACTACCCATAAAGAGTTCCAACATGGCAGCTGAGCACCATCTTAAAGTTTCAACTCTCACTTGTATGCTAAAATAGAGTATTTATGGATCAATTTCAACACCCAGAATTCCAGCTTGTTAACTTGACCCGCTTAGAAAAATGAGGGGACCTCTATGACACGCATTGTATACTTAATGGGATTTCATGAAAAATACACTCAAAATGAAAATAATAATAATACTAAATGGTCTTTATTCATCATTCAGGGTAACTTAAGAAAAAAATAATCAATGCAATTATAAATTGATGAAAGGCGTAGTTCAGCCTAAGCAGCTGTTCAACTCAACTCATAAAAAATAACACTCGTACAAAATATATAAAAAGTAATATACGATGCAAAATAGAGCATACGAGAACATCGCCAATACTTTTTTTTATACTCCAACTACCACGACGGCCTAAGGCCTAAACACCCATTGGGTACCGTGGGGCTATAGGGGGATACAGGGGAAAAGGGGAACGCCACACGGACTCTGGCGAGGGAACACGTGTGCATGCAACATGCACACATTCTGGCTCCGCCTACGAGATCCGCCGGGTGGTACCTCCACGTTCGACAGTCAGAGACCATCTACCACCTACGGACAATCACAACATCCATAGCCAAGAGAAAAATTTCTCCTGGGACGGGACTCGAACCCGCACAGCGCACGGCGACTGATCAGGAGACCGAAGAGTCTATACTGCGGCCACCGCTGCTGCCTGAATATACTATTTTTATATATGCAAAAAAGAACAAGGCGATTTAAAAAGAAACATGCTGAGGCATTATCCGTCAAAACGTAGCAAGCTTTGGTTATATCTTAGGCCTTTATTGGTGCAGGCGATTAGCTTTTATTTTTATTTTGAAATTGTACAGGCTTAGATTTTTGAGATCTACTTCCAAGCTATTATACAGTTTCGCAGCATTGTATGAATAACTGCACTTAAGCAGAGCTGTTGAATGTTTTGGAATAACAAAAATTGCGAGTTGCTTTATTAAGCCTGGTAAGTTTATTGTATAAATTAGTAGGTGTTCTACTAGTAACGATCTTGTGTACTCAAGTTAGAAAATGAAGTTTTCTTATGTTAATCATGGTAAGCCAACTAGACTCCATGAAGCGCTCACTGATCTGATCATACCCTCAGATATCTCATGCAAGACTTTTGAATTCGCTGAATGCGTAAGATATCTGCAAAAGGGCAGGTCTATATATATAACTAAATCCTAAAACGTTTGCCAATTTCCCAATTAACAATTAATTGTATTTTTTGCCCAACTGGTCGTCGGCAATGGCAGTGACTACTGCTCACGTTTTATATATATATATATACCGCGTTCGCCATCTTTGATGTCGGTATTGATACATCGAATGACTTTGATATTTACCAACCGAGTGATTTGGTTATACGTGTTTCTGAAACGTCAATTTGATACAATTTTAGTCATGAATCGCTTTACACTGAAACAACGCGCCGAAATAGTCACAATGTACATTGAAAATCGTCGTTCAGTTGTGTTAACGCAACGTGCATATCGTCGAAAATATCGTGGCAAACAGGCACCGTCTGACAACACTCTCCGTCATTTGGTTTCGAATTTTCTTGAGTACGGGACAGTAGGAGATCGTCAACATACCGTTCTTCAACGACCAAGACGTTCCAATGAAGTGGTTGAAATGGTCAGAGACAGCTTTGCCCAGAAACCAAAAGTGTTGTATCGTCACCGCGCTCAGCATTTTGGCATCAATGGAACCACGTTGCGGCGCATTTTGAAGGATGATTTGCATTTGTTCCTTTATAAGGTGCAGTTAACTCAAAAAATATTGGCAACTGACCGTCCACGTCGCTGGGAATACGCCCAAACAATCGCTAGCATGGTTGATGCTGAACCTGATTTTTAAAAGAAAATTGTGATACCGACGAGGCCCATTTCACGCTCTCTGGCGGCGTTAATAAGCAAAACTGCCGCAATTGGGGGACGGAAAATTCATATCAGATCCACGAAATGCCGTTGCATGACCGGAAAGTGACTGTTTGGGCCGGCGTTTGCGCCAAAACCATCATTGGGCCATTTTTCTTCAACGGAAACGTAACAGTCGATGGAAATCGATATCGGTGGATGTTGGCTCATTATGTCTGCCCACAAATGCGTGAAAAAGGTCTTGATGGTTACTGGTTTCAACAAGACGGTACGCCATGACACACTGCAAATGAGACAATCCTGTTTCTGCATCGAAAATTCCCTGGACGTCTGATGTCAAAAAGAGGTGACATTGACTGGCCACCCAGGTCTCCAGATTTGACCCCACCGGACTTCTTCTTGTGGGGTTATTTGAAAAGTTAAGGGTACGCCAGCAAGCCCCAGACCACTGAAGAACTCAAGGCAAATATTTGTACCGCAAAAAGTAATGGAAAACGCAGCAAAACGGGCACATTTTGTTTTGGCCAATAAAGGTGGCCACTTGATAGATGTTGTGTTCAAAAACTAGTCCCAATAAATTGTAGAGGACCGTATTTAATAAAAATACCCGATATATAGAAATCGTTTTCATGTTTACATACAGACAAAAGATGGCGCACCCTATATATATATACAGGGTGTAAAGTTAGTAGTGGATCATCGGAAGTCAGGTGATAGAGAACCTCAAAATCTATCGAATGAACCCCTATATGTGTGGTCCGAAATTTTATAGTTCAGGAGGCAATTTTGTGAAATTTCGAAAAAAAAACGGGATAATGAACTTTCAATCGCAATTACAACTAAACCTTCTAATAAAATTGTCCTTTAGTCTTTGAAATGAATTTGCATTTTCCATAATATTTATTTTTGCTTTATCAATTATCTGTCGCAGTTGGTTGACATTTGTACAGGGTCCGGCAATGAAGTATGGTGTTTTTGCAACGACTATTACATGCAGCACTGTCGAGCCAATGTTTTCACGATGATTGATATCTACTCGTTCCGCGATGCCATTTTAGTAGCCATGGAGCCGTGGTCTGTGGCACATAGTGTGTTTATTTACAACACTTTTATTGAAACTGGTCGTTCTGTTGTGCTCACACAGCGACGATTTCGAAACCATTTTAACGTTGGTCGGCATGGTCGCGTTCCAAGACGCGATACCATTTTGAAGTGGGTGAATAAATTTCAAACAACCGGATCGTTGAGACCTGGTACTGCAAGGGGAAGAGATCGAACAGTGCGAACTCCGGAAAACATTGAAAGAGTGCAACAAGCGGTGGATACTAGCTCTCACCGTTCAGCGGTACGTCACGCTCGCGCTCTTAGAATGTCAGATCGTTCAGTTCGCAGAATCTTGCATTTGGACCTCCATTACCATCCGTATAAAATTATGGTTGTGCAGAAGCTGCTCCAAAATGACTTTGTGAGACGACACAGGTTCGCAGAAAGGATGCTGGAATTGCTGCACGGCAACATCGTTTTGTTCATGAGTGACGAGGCCCATTTTCATTTATCGGGCATGGTAAACAAACAAAACTTCCGATACTGGGCACACGAAAACCCACGAAAACTGCATGAACAACCTCTGCTCTCTGAGAGGTTAACTGTTTGGTGTGCCGTATCTCGAAATTGAATAATTGGCCCGTATTTTTTTCGTGAAAACGGACGAACCGTGTCAGTGAACTCAGATCGTTATTGCGCCATGTTGCGTGATTATTTTCTGCCCGAACTAAGAAGACATTGACATCAATACAGTTTGGTTCCAACAAGATGGGGCGACTTGCCATACATCAAGAGCTGCAATGGGCTTTTTAAGGGAACCTTTCATGTTGTGACTACTTTTTATGGGGCTATTTAAAATCCAAAGTTTACATAGACAAACCGCAAACTCTTGAGGCTCTTTCGGAACTCATAACGCGCGAAATTGAAAGGATTCCTCGTGCCATGCTAGAAAGGAGTATGGATGATTTTGCAATCCATCTCCAAGAATGCATCGACAAGAATGGACGCCACCTAACTGATGTAATTTTTCGCACCTGACTATGTTATGTTACTTAAATGGCATCATTCCACTAATGTATTAAAATAATAAATTTTGATGTATGTTTAAAAATGAAAGTTTTGTAATTTTTTTCAAAAACACCATACTTCATTGCCGGACCCTGTATATTCAGATATTCAGATTTATAGATTATCCCCTTATAAAACCCCCACATAAAAAAATCTAGATGATTTAAATCCATCGTATGTGCCACCTCTACCTATCCAACGCCCAGGAAAGGCACTGTCTGAGTAATGCCGTACATCCTGTGCAAAGTGGCACGGGGCACCATCGCATTGAAAATACATGCAGCTTCGAACGTAAAAAGGTACATCCTCTAACAGCTCATGCAAACTGCGTTGTAGAAAAGCAAGACATGACTGACCATTCAACCTGGCGGGCAATTCATATGGTCCAATTAATGTTTTGTTGAGTACTCCAGCCCATATGTTAACGCCGAACTGACGGTGAAAACTGTGTCGGCGAATAGCGAGTGGATTTTCCACGCTCCATGAATGGAAATTGTGCATGTTGAATATTCCATTTCGGTTAAAGTTGGATTCATCTGTCCATAAGAAGCTGTCGAAAAAAGTTTCATCCTCTTCGCACCTTCTCAACATATTCTCACAAACTTCAACCCGTTGTGCATCGTCGCTTGGAAGCAATTGTTGTAATTTTTGTACATGGTAAGGATGCATGTTCTCCGAGCGTAGTATTGTGTGCACTGAAGTATGGAATATGTTTCTGCTTTGGGCAATGGCTCTGGTGCTTATAGAGGGATCACTCTAGGCTGCTTCTATAATGCATATCTTCTATTTCTTCTGGGCGTATCCTCGGCGCTCCTAGCTGACGATGAGTACCTAGTATGCGGCCCACCATATACGCATTATGGACGCGTAGAAAAACGCGGTAGTCGGAATATACCGCCGGTTGTGGTCCACCTCTTCTAACCACATACTCCCGATACATGCGAGCAGCTGCTCGAGCATTTCCTAGGGCAGCACTATAATAGTAATGCATTTATGCATAATCTCTATCTCAATCTCTAAGATTGAACGCTCCCGCACCTTGAATGCCGAGTTGAATGCCCAATCTCATTAAGCTGATTTAGCTATTTTCGTAAAAAATCCGCCATTTTGATTTTACAAAATGTTAATACACACAATATCACTCGCACTGCTAGGACGAATCTAACAGTATCTGATATGTCAAAATCCATCAAGTCGTTTGGACTGTAGCTCGTAAAATAGAATTTCTTTACATGTATACGAGTAGATCCCACCTGCGACAAACATACATATTTTTTAAAGTGAGGCATTTATCGCAAGCTGAACTTTCAGGGTTTATTCTACATGGATTGAAATAGTTTTCACAATAACATGAATAATGAAATACAACTTCAATTTTTTTTACCTCCCTCCAAAGTTGAGGGATTGAAGAGATTTTTCACAAAAAAATAAATTTACCTAATAGTTTAGTTTTGTAACTGCGATTGAAAGTTCATCCCGTTTTTACGAAATTTCACAAAATTGCAAATATCTCCGGAACTATAATATATCATTCGATATGATTTGAGGCCCTCTATCACCTGACTTCCGTTGATCCACTACTAACTTTACACCCTGTATATATCCAGTCACACTATGCCAGTTCACTCAACATACTCCTGTTGGGATGAAGTTGCCTTAACACATTATAGGATGCTTGACACGAGTAATTAATATTTTTTGTATATCTTAGATCAGCGTCCAGCCATATTCCAAGATTTTTGTATTTACTGATTATTTTCAACCCTACATCATTTATAATAACCGAAAATATGCCATGCAGATCGAGTCTTATTGTTATTGCCAAAAATCATGACTCTTCATTTCTTCGGATTTAGTTGTAAATTTTTTTAGCTTCTAGTTCGTTGCACATTTTGTATTTCGAAAGCAACACCTTCAATTGTTTGTCACTGATAACTAGAATAATAATACTTAGTGCATAGGTATACCGAATGCAGATACGTGTTATTTTTTGTTAGGTATGATCGTTTCTTACAATTATTCAGAAAAATAGTGAAAATAAAATAAGAGTGTGTAATGTCAAATTTTATTCGTAATAAAATGGTCTCTTGGAAAGAGCCGATTGCACCCTCATTCTATTTGAAAAAATCAAGTAAACTGAAAAAATTGCTGTTTGTAACTTTTAGAGTATCTTTGAAACGACTGTAAGGTCGTTCGCCTCAAAATCATATTTGCCTCCTGTTACTTGATCAAAAATGAAGCGATTTACAGGATCCATGGCCTTCTAGATCGAAAAATAAAAATTGAAATAAAAATGACTTCATTTGTCAAATATTAACAAGTGAGGCGCTGTTGAGTTCAGAATGTCATTCTCGATCGAAATCAGTAAAAATATATAGGGTGTCCCGTTTAAAAATGTAAATTCATCTATAATATACAAACCCCAAATTTTGTTTTTCTATTTTCAATAATAACAAGGTTATAGGGGTGAGCCACCTTGGAGAATCACCCGGTATAAAGATTTTAAATCGTTATTCAGTTCAATCTGCGTAGTAACAGCTTAGGGTGCGGAGAACGTCGGCATAATGATGTAATTGAGAAAATTTAACAAATTCATGAAAGTTACTTGTTTATAGCTTATAAAGGAGCGGGCCCAAGACCGAACCTTGTGGAAGACCGAAAAGTTTATCTAAAGAGGAATACTATGCATGCGAATGTTTAAGTAGCTCTCAAGAAGTAAAACTGAGTTATAAGAAAACCAAAATATAATTTTTTTAGAAGCGTGCCGTGATCTAAGGTATCGAAACCTTTGCAGTAGTCGAGTAAAACAAGACAATTGCAATTACCTTGATTAGTTGACCTAATATTATCATCCGTAATCTTGATTAAAGCCGTGGAAGTACTATAATGAGGACAAAAACCTGACTAGTGAAGCTAATGCTATTATTTTGAATAGCATAGGTAAGCAATTTGGTCTTCCCTGGTGAGTTCTAAGAGTTTTGATAGGATAGGCAGAACACTAATCATTCTTAGGTTAGAGAGCTCATCAGGTGAGTTACATTTAGGTATTGGCCTCACCAAAGCATTCTTACATGCAGAAGGAAATGTTCCAGATGTGACTGAAAACTAACTTAATACATACATATATGTTAAAATGTGATGTAATCTATACAAAGTATATAGTAATAGTAACATACATAATGAAATATAATTTGAGCGGCTTTTAATTTTATTAAGAAATTTGAACACTCTATGGGAATTCACTGTTGTGAATCTAAAAGAATCTTTATTAGCTTGCCTTACATGGGTATCGCATTTTTTAAGCATATCAATTTGGAGAGCTTTTAGCCAAATTTGAAGCACTATTAAAAATGCAATCTCAGTGTTGCTATTCTTTAACTCTAGTGGTAGTTAAGATAACTTTTTTCCTTGCAGGATTTCTAAATATTTAAGTGTTTAATTTGGATTTTTTTGTGAGGATATAATTCAAATACGCAACTTTCTCTCTTCTGATCGGACCAGTAACAAAATTTCTTAACTCCTTATAGTAGTTGTAAGCCGCTGTATTTTTAATACATTTATATCTTTTAAAAGCTTCATCTATAAGTGTCATCATTATTTTTAAATTAGAACTACGCCAAGAAGCAGGCTGTTTACTAACCCTCACTTGACGATAGGGTGCGTGGCGATTTAAGAAGGTAATAAGATTTATGTTAAGATAATCCAAAATGCTCTTTTGGAAGAATTTCTCAAACTCTCAATAATCTATATGGGCAACGGAGCAGTTGTACTAGACAATCCTCGTAAGGAATGAAAAGCACCAGCCTGGTGGGGCCGTCTAACTGCATACTCAGAATGCTATCAAAACAAAACCCTATCGCAGTATTTATACTACATGCATTTTTCATAAGTTAAGTATTACCAATTGATCTGTATAAGTGGAAGAAATGCAGGCAAGCGGCAAACCAAACAATTATTGCTGTACGAAATATTGAGTTAGAAAATGTCGCATCAATAATATTTGTCCTTTGGAACGTCCATTATAATCGGATATGGTGCAGAATCCAAACGCCCTGTATATGAGGACTGACTAGCATCGAAATTACCGAAGTAGGTCATGACCATGAAAGTGACTTTTCAGCCTGGTTCTGACAGGTGTCCTCTCTTAACAGTCTATGCTCTCAACTCCCATAACCTGAAAAAGATGGAGGTGAAGAAGTTACATAAAGACCTAATTAATAAGTTAAGAAGTACATTTACTATAAGTAATTTCACTCAATGCATTATGGAATTGGTGAGTATTAAAGTTTAATCCAAAATATTATATTAAGCTTACTAATTTCAGGTCTATAATAGTTTAGATGCAAATTCTACTGCCGTAGCGATAAGGATAAACTTTGTAACTTATCGAATACAAGTAGTGGATAATGGTGATGGAATATCTAAAAATAATATGTCGAGTATAGGCATTCGTTATATGACCAATAGAATTGAGGGAATAGAAGATTTCAAACATCAACTAAAATATTATGGCTACAGAGGAGAATCTTTAGCAAGTATCACGGAATGTTCGAAATCCGTCAATATTACGTCTAGGTATAAAAAATCATTTGAAACTTACAGCAAAACATTGCAAAAGAACGGAAGTGATCAAATAAACTTAACTAAAACCCGTCCAAGCAATGGAACAACTGTAACAGTTGAAGGAGTTTTCTACAGCCTAACAGTGAGAAGAAATAGAATCGTTTCCGAATTGGAACTAGATGATTTGAAAATGTTCATTCAAAATATTATACTGATGCATCCAAACGTATCTTTCACTATCAGAGACGATGTCACCAGCGAGCTTTTGCTAAATAGTCATAAGCACAAAGATATCATAGCTGCTTTCAATCATTTCCATCCGGAAATTGATTGCGATTTTTCACTGTTAAAAGTTTCAAAAAACAAGCTGACCATAGAAGCTTTGTTATTTAAGGACTTATATGATAACAAAAATATACAATACATTTTTGTGAACAAGCGTCCCGTTCGCTCCACAAAAATTCAAAAATATGTCGTCAGTATGATAAGCAGGAACCGAAGAAATGTTAGGAACAAAATCAAAAATCTCAATAATATGTACCCAGTGTATATAGTGCATATAAAATGCCCATATGCTTTAGTGAGTTTCAATACTGATCAAGCAAAAACAACTGTTGAATTTGCGGACTGGAGCTCAGTTTTTCGGTACATAGAAAAGCTGGTTTACACCTTTTTCGGAAATGAGAACAAGTTCAAGGAGCAGAAAAAACTTCCCCCTCCTCATCCAGAAGACTTTATGCTTGAGTGCGGTCCATCTCAGATATACGGCGCCGTTAAAGCCTATGCTTACAAAAGGAATAGTGATGAGATCATTTGTGAAACTATGGCAGAAAAAGTGCCAAAGTTGCAGGAAACTCATATCTCTGATAAGATTCTGAGGCATAAAACAGCTGACAGTATTACTGAAAAGCTACCTCAGCTATATATTGAAAACTTAGTAGAACGTAATAATGAAGATATAGTGAATCAAATTGATGAACATCATGTAGCTATAGAATCAAAAACAAATAAAATGTGTGACAAAGATTTAGAGGACATCTACTGTATAAGTGATACAACGCCTCAACAGAAGCCAAAAATGCCATTCAAAAAACCTCTTCCCATCAAGATAAGTTGCAAGAATCAAAAACAAGCTGTTTGTCTGTATTCAAATATATCACCATCACAACAGGAGGCTGAGAAGCCACAAAATGTTTTACAAAATAAGCCTATAGACGAACGATCTACGATCACTGGTATTACCAATGATGAAGTGAAGGGTAAACATTTAATAATGGATATGTTTCTGAAATCGACACAAGTTTTCAATAGCGATGGTAGCACTAGTGATGTTAAAAGTGAGGGTACTATCTTTGAGGTGGTGTCTAACATGCTTTTGGAAAACAATATTACATCACAAGAGGATGGTTTCACAAAAACAATGTCTGTGTCTGTAAATGTCAAAAGAAAGCAAACAATTAAGATGAGAAAGAGAGCTAGGAGTAAAATTTCGAAATGTGTTCAAACAACGTTTCGATCAAAAAGTGTCAAATCTGTGAAAATCAAACGAGTCAAGAATAAGGCGTTTGAAGATGTTCGTGATAGCCGAGATGCTGGGGAATATACGATAATATTTTCTAATATAATGAATCCTAACAAGGAGCCCAAATTCAAATTTATTCCTTGTAGTAGTGAATTTCAAGGTGGTGATTTGAGTGAAAACAATGTAGATTTTGATAATTTATGTCTTTGTAGATGCCACTCAATTAAAGATAAATTGTTCAGTTTTAGCAAAGAAAATACCCAATATTTTGTTTGTAATGTTGAAAATACTGGTGACCTAGACAAGCTAAACCATGAGAATAATTTGAAAATTACCGGAAAAATAGGCCCTAAGCATGATTCAGAGGAAAATTGTAATACTCATTTTTATTCGAAACATGATGATGTAAGTCACCTGAGAAAATATAGGAGTGAGAAAGTGAAAAATGATGAACATAAACAATATAATCTTCACGAATACAATCATCGTCGATTAATTGAGGATGATTATGAAAAAAAAATGAATGGAAAGGTTCATGAAATGCGTGTCCATCCAGTTTTTCATAAATGTGAAGTTCCAGTAAATAATCTTGAATTTGAACAGGGGAATAAGAATCTTCAGCAAATGTATACTTACCAGATATTCGACAAGACGAAGTATGACAAAAACATCTTACATCCGAACGAAAAAATGTATTCTAATCACCAAATTCTCCCAGAAAAGGGTTGTTGTCAGCATACGAATACGGATATTCAAACATATGGATGCTCCCAAGAACATATATGTAAGAATAATGCCAATGTTCGATATTCTTGTTTGAATAAATTTGATCATTTGAATAGAGATCCTTATTTTTCAAACTATACGAATGCATGTGCCATTCCAAGTTATACAAACTTTGTCAAACATGTTCCACATGTTCATAGCAACGAAGGAACCAGTGGACATGCCCATACAGTTAAACAAAACTTGCAACAGCCGTTTCCTCAACTGAATGTAGAAAATGTCTACCGTGCAACAAAAAATTATTATGAAAGCCAAGTATACTCAGACAAATACAACAAACCATTGAAAAACAGTGCAATTCCAAAGTGGATAGAGTGCGTAAAAACAAAAAAACAGAAATGGCATGCTATTTCTACAGAAAGTCCGTATTTCAAACGGCCACCAATTCGTACGCCAAACACGTTTAATTTTGTAGAGCACCTAGTTCCAAAAGTAAAAAGATATTTGAATGTGGTTACTGCTGAGAGTCCATATTTTACAAAACGTGATAGAGGTATTTATATGGAAAAAGATCAGAAACTAAAACTCCATGAAAATCAAGAAATTGACACTTATCCTTTTATAGAAGGACAACATGTTTTTCATTGCGGTTCCGAGCAGACGTTAGCAAAAAACTTCGATATTCAACTTTTCAACTTAAAGACGAGTGGAGACCTTTTTAGAAGTGATGACTCTCCAGGCAAAGGAAATAACTTTACAATAGCATCCTTCAACCAGTTCATGCCAGAAAACTTGAGTACTCAGATAGGCGGACTGACTAAAGCAGGTGAAGTTAATGATAAAAATATTGCTCCAGGGCTAGGGTTGCCGGATATCTGCGATGTGCCGAACCATGCTTCCAAAAGATCTACCCACGATGTTACAAATATTTTACCAACAGCTAGTTCAGAGCTATGCATAACGTTGAGTAAAAATCAAAATCAAAATTTACTGAACGAGGAACTGAGACAAGATAAAATGTTTGACTTTAAGCAATTCAAAGAGTTCAGTAGTCAGCCGATGGAGACCAACCAAAATATTTATCTTGAAGAAGGGTGGATCAAAGAAGCTGATAAGTGCGGAAATGTTTACTACCTCAACAAAAAGACAGGTATCTGTTGTATAATATTTTACTTTGAACCTGTAAAATACTTTCATTTTAAAGTAATTTGAAGATGTTTCTGTTGAATGTTTTAGGTACATACTGTTGAATAAATTTTTGAATCACCGTAATTTTATCAAATCATCATTAATTTCTGGAATGCTATTATTACATCAATCACTAGTTTCTTTTAATAAAACCATAATATACGATTGCCAATAGTTAATTGAGATGAATGTGGGTTTTACATCGTAATCAGTTTTTTTGTTGCATTTTGGTAAGTGAGCGTGAGCTTTCATTATTATAACATAATTTTAGTTTGGCATTTGATTTGCTTAAAGCTGGTTACTTATTTTTGTCAGTGGTTACAAATTCCAATCAAATCCAATATAAAAATCAAAACACATTATACCATACAAAATAGATCTTGGGATGTCCAAGGATAATAAAAAACATTGCAAAAGTATTTCATAACGGAACACAAAATCTCTGCAATTAAATGATACAAAGAAACATCAAGTTATAGGTTGTGACTAATGGTATAACACCCACATTACATCATACTTTGCTTACATATTCAGGATATGCCACATACAATACTCCTAAACAAGAAGCAAACAATGGTTTCAAGGTGTCTGAGAGGCATGAATTTCTTCCCAAAGGGTTTTCCCCAATGCTTGTTGAAACAGAACCAGTAGATCGGTCTCTTAGCCAGAATAAGAAAGATAAATTGTTGGAATACATAATGGAAACATATCAAACTGATTTGATGTATATCAAATGGAGGAATTACATGGATGATATTGGTAAATGCTTGAAAAAATATGTTCACCTTGTTAATAATATTATAGTGATATTTTTAGATCCTAACGTGTTTTTCCATAATTTATATAAAGAAAAGGTCAAACAGTACGAAGAATCGATACCAAATGTTGCCATACTACATGCAAGAAACAAATTCAGAAAAGACCAGATTAGATTTGATAAAAGGTTATTTCCGAATATTGAGATTATAGGCCAAATCGATAAAAAATTCATTTGTGCTTTGGAAAGGGACCAGAATCTATTGATATTGTTTGATCAACATGCTGTACATGAACGGGTTAGGTTGGAGAAACTATTAACAGGTTGCGTGTATAGGATGTTTAGTTTATACATTCAATGTTTTCACGTTTATTGATTTTGTAGATTACAAAGGTTCTAAATGTAGATGCGATGAAATTGTAATATTTTTGCCAAAAAGCCATTCGAAATTGTTGGTTAAACATGAGGCGTACATAAATTCACTCGGGTTAAGCATGACATATCATACTAATGGCATCAACGTAACAGAAATACCGAGCTACATCTATCATAAGTTTAAAGATAACGTAAGTTTCAACTATTATTATGATTAAATCCAGACTGAACGAAGATTCTTTTAGGAATCAGGATTTCTCGCTAAAGTGATTCAGTTGGTTATTAAAGAAATCGTAGAGCTCTTGAAATCAACGAGAGGAAGCACTTCAACATGTTTGCCCAAATGTCTTCAAGATATTATTAGTCTTGAAGCATGTAGAGGTAATTGCATATTTTGATAACAATGATGGGCCATAGTCATACCCGTATTAGATGAGCAGATTATCCGTACCAGATGGGATCCGCTTAAACATCACTGTATCAGACAAATCAATGGATACTAATAATAATAGCTTGTGGATCAGGTCTGGTACGTACGTATAAACGAAAAGATAAATGTTACAGATGTGACCACTTGCTGATCCACAGACGTATAGATGTCTTTGCAATTCTCGCTCGACATAATATCACATTCATCACTCGTATATAAGTAGCCCTGAGCATTGACATCATAAAGCCGCAAAAGTATACAATCATTGTTTTTTCCTTATAGGTGCTGTAAAGTTTGGAGATGTTTTAAGCAAAGAACAGTGTACAGATTTACTGACGATTTTATCAACTTGTAACTTGCCGTTCCAATGTGCACATGGCAGACCTACCCTTGTACCACTGATGCATCTCGAAGATGTATGTGATAAGTATTTTCATAAAATGCTTATAGCTGGTGAGGCGTACGGAGTAGATAATAAAATCTTACCTGCAGGCAGCATGACTGCATGACTTTTCAAAAAGTTGAACGTTTTGGTGGAAATTCTTACGAATTTTAATAAAGGAAAACATAACATATATATATATATATATATATATATATATACCCGCACGTATGATTTGAAATGTTTGAAACTGTTTTCATGAAGAAATACTATCATATTTCAATTTCATATTTTCAATTGTTTTGCCAAATTAAATAGGATAGCATAATTGTGGAGCACTCATTAGAATTAATCAGGAGTCCGAAACCAGACATTCTTTACTTTTCTAAACAGTCTTTGGTTGCAAGTAAACAAGTGTCTACGCCCATTATGGAGTGAAAGCCAAATTAGCCTGACGGCTTGTGTCCAATGAGTACGAGAAGTATGTATCAACACGTTAGAAATAGATAGGAGCCGGCTGAGGAGCAAAGGTCATCACCACCTTGCCTAGCAATGTTGACGCAGAAGGCAGTGCAATCTGCCGCGTGGCCAATATGTTACACCAGGAAATGTTCTCACAAGCTTCTACAATAGGTTAGGTTTCTTTCAATTTTGATGCGATTTAGTGTTTTAATTCATTTGATTTCCACCGAAGGTGGTAAAATCAGCACATCCTGAGTTATTGTTACATTTTGCGACAGCAAGAGGTCGGAACACGCAACAAATACCATTATGCAATACAAATTATCGCTGCCTGAGAAAACCATCTCGAAGCAGGACGACACTTCCCAATGAACGCTAGATGGGTACTGACCAAAATCGCTCATCTATGATCATGAACGTGATAAACTTGCCTTGGGATGTACGAGATGCGGAGTTGCAGAATTTGTGGCGATCCTGACCTTTCATTTCGACTTAAAAATAAACGCCGGTAGGACCGGTTCGGATTTTTCACAATTCAATTCAAAATAAAACCATTATTTGGGCGTAAAGAATAAAATAACGCTTATTTTCAACATGCATCTTAATTCAAGGAACTGATGTAACATACTGACAATGCGGCAGATTGCCTCGTCAGCGTTACTAGGCAACGCGGTGATGAGCTTCGCTATCCAGTCGGCTTCTATTTTTTTTCTAACATATGTGTCTATACACACTTCTCTCTAGTACACATTGAACTCAAGCCGTCAGACAAATTGGTTTTCAGTGTAAGTCACACTCTGCATATCATTTTGTATGCAGTGTATATTACGTGGTTTTGCTATGAGAACTACGTATCAGAAGTGTCATGGGGGTGAGCGTAAAAGGATGACTACACTGACTCGACGATTTCCCCAAATGATCTCGGATTTTTGTGATTTCATCAATAGGCGGGTAGCACCGAACTAGTATTATTGTTATTTGTATACTCCCTATGAAGCTCCGGTTGTGTAAATCTCATGATTACATACTCTATGATTATGATTATTCTTTCCACTATAGGTGTATGCAAGGCAGAAGATACATTTCAAGAACATAAGAGGTTGCGAATTATAGGGTAATATTTAATTTAACCTAGAAAATGTGTTGCCTTTATCGAAGTACCTTGTAATTCTTTTGCAGTTATAATATATACATATACCAGTTTAATGTTCTAATTTCTTGGCAAAACCTTTTTTATAACCTCTTGTGACGTCATGAGAGCCATCTGTTGAAGACATATATCTACGACCACTGTAACTACGGGCTCTAGAATTTCGAGAACGCACCCTATATTACTCTCCCTTTAAACCTGACCTGACATCCACGAATACCGAGCTGACCGTTGGTCTTTACTCCGTTTTTTCCAAATGAAAAGGTTCTTGCAGAAAGAGGGCAAACCTAATCTAATCAGATAGTGCATAATAAAAACACAGCTATTAATAAAAAGTGGTGGGTGTTGTACGTACATAAATTATTATAGGGCTACCCTCGGACGTTTGTGTTTTCGAACATCAGCCATAGAGTAATTCTCAGTCTCCCTTACCAGAAGGTTAGGATGGTTGTCTTGTTCTTATATATACACTCACTGAAAGTAGGAATATTGAGATCTGAATGAAGCTCGTGATTCGAAAGATACCATGAAACTCCCGCGATGGAGCTAAGAACTCTAAGTTGGGTTACCTTTAAAACATGCATGTGCGTCTTAGCAACAAAACACCAAGCCGCACATGCATATGTCGTGATAGGCCTAATAATGGATTTGTATAAGAGTAATTTATTTGAAGTTGACACTAAACGATTTCCTTTTAGCAGAGGTACAGTCGTTTAAAAATTCCCACAACCTTATTTCGGGCAGACAGGGGCTTCCAGGTTAATTTCCTCTCGATTATCAACCCCAAGTACTTTGTCATGGTATTTTTCTATCAAATACTCTTAACTGCCTAGGTGCAGAATGCCTAACGTTTTGTTAGGAAAACAGTTTGGGAATTCCTCCAGCTGACACACCGCCTCCTGAAGGCAGTCTACAACCTCTTAAGCGTGTATTGACTTAGTCACCAGAGCGGTGTCATCAGCGTAAAAGAACGCCTCTTCGTGGTCAAGACGACGGGTGTCGGAAGTAAAGATTAGGACGCTCCTTAATGAAGAAAGATAACTATCATTTTTTACCTCCAAAAAGGATTTAAATAATTTAGATAGCCAAAAAGGGCAATTTAGACAAATAAGCTTGCAGATAAGATCCTGATACCATACTTTACGGAATGGTTTTCCGATATCTAGCAATAAGAAATCACTATTCGGACTTCGAGAAAATCCGCAGGTGACCGTACCAACCGAAGAAAATCCTGTAATCGCTCAAGGATGACTCTCTCAGCGAGCTTACTAGGAATAGATAAGACTAATCGGGCGGTATTCTGGTGGATTTGCCGTCATTCCTTCCTTCGGTATCATTATTAGATGGACAAGCTTCCAATCATGATGGAAATATTACAGGCGAAGGATAGATGGCCATCAAAGCGGGTTGTCATCAGATATTGTTTGTTCAAGATCCCCAAAATAGGAATATCCATATTGATCAATACTTTGTTCTTTATTCGCGTAGATGTTGTCCTCATTTGAGGAGAATTGTCTTTCCATTTCATCCTGAAAAACCTATACCTTCACGGCATCAATATAGACAATGCCAGTTGCTCCCTGGAGTGGCGGGATTTTTCATTCTTATTGGATCGTAAAGTTTTAGCTATCCTCCAGAGATACATGCCAGCGTGTATCATGAATCCCAGAAAGTTAGACCATGGTTCATTTTTCAGTTTAGAAATAGCATTCCGCACTAAGTGGACTAGGTTGTTTGCAGTCTAGATATAATCTGGTGCCCGCGTCCGTCATGCCTATTTGATTGTTTGAGCGTTTCATGTCGTTAAACAAATATGGTTTTTTTAATCAAACAAACGAGTAACAGATGCTGATTCTAAAGCCTCTCGAATATATCTAGTCCAAGCAGATACGGATGCACCCAACGAATTCAGACCAGGTAGAAGGAGCCAGTCAAGGATTTGTTTGTCTTCTTATTCTCATAGACTATAGGAGGATCAAAGTGTACTTGACATAAGTCAATTTTTCTGAGTTCTGTCATTAAATTCGTTTACTTTGTGTTATTTTTTAATAGTACGAGTGTTTACAGATAATTGTGGTGTTGCTCCAAATTACATTTCAGCAATTGTATGCAGAACATCAAAATTGAGTTTTGTCAATAAGATTCGGATATACAAAACCATCATCAGACATGCCTACGCATGTGCAGCTTGGTGCTTTCTAGCTAAGTCACATATGCGTAAACTATAAGTTCTGCAGAGTATGACTCTCAGAACAATAACTAATGCTTCATGGTATGTATCAAATGATACCATCTATAGAGATCTTGACATCCCGTACCTTAGGGATTACATTATAGGTATAGCACAAACTTTAAAAGTTATAGTTTCTAAAAACCAAACACCCAAAATTCAGTTCAAGTCAAGTCCAAAATTTAGTACAATGGAACAGTCCTTAGATCTATCACACCTCAAATATTTTCATAAAACGATTTATTTTCTTTCTCTTCTCGCTCCTACTTCCTTTCTTTCTCCCTCTCCCCTTTCACTTTGTCTGGTTTTTGAGCCACCAGACCTAATAGACTGACGACAGACACTGACATTACAGTGACTATGACCTAAAGGGTAAGGTTCTCCGGGCCTTGAGAAGAAACGTCGTGTAGTAGTATAAGGACAGTGGGTAGGCGCGGCAGTAGAATGAATTAAGTAGTTACTGCATAGGGAATGTTTATACAACCGAATACCTGAAGCGAGTTACGTGAGTTCCAAGAAGTGTGTTTCACACCTCAGTCATTATTAACGATAAGTGGCCCTGGAAAATCGAATCTTTACCAGTCCACCACAAAATGCATACGTGGAAATAAGTTCCAGACTAAAACCATCCTGCATATTCGGGATACGGAGTGAATCGCCAGGATTAAAACGTATTTCCTGCAAAAGGAATACAACAACAGATAACTCACCTAGAATTTTTTAAATAACAGCTATCGCAGATGATAAGTCTACAGGCAGGCACGTAGCCAGGCTTAAGCCCCCCCGAAATTCCAAAAGAAATTTTTTTCAGATTTAAACATAAAAGACTAACTGAGAAAGTTCAAGTGATCTCAATCATATTATGTAAATATATGAAACAAATAATTGAAAATTTTTAGCCTATGTCCGTTCTTGAGGTCTAGTCTATATATGTGCTAAAATTTAACGAAATCGGTTCAGCCGTTTTGGCGTGAAAGCGGAACATACAAACATACACACTTTCACATTTATAATATTAGTAGGGGAAGTAGGGATATTCATTTACCACTATAAAAATACGTCTTTCGTACCTATGGTATTCTCTTTTATCGCTACAATATTGGACATTTATTTGTTGTTCACATTCATTATTCTTTTATTATTAATCCAACTTCTCTCAGGATTTGCTAATGTGAGTAAAGCCGATGAGTTAGACAACTTAGCGTCATACTTTGACGATAAGATATCATCAACGGCAGAGAATGCAGAATATAGGTTGTGGTGTGCGAAGATATCGTCCATTGATCAATCAACCGGGCTTTTAAAAATTTTGGAGTATTGCAATGGAAATTATTTTCACGGTACCTATCAGAATACTTCTAACTACCTTAGCCACTTTGCCAGTGACAACAGCTAGCGTAGAAAGATCATTTTCCACTATGAAAAGAGTTAAAACTCTACCGCGAAGTGTTATGGGCCTTGAAAGATTGAGTTCACTCGCTATGATCTCTATTCACTGGGATATTGCTGAAGATCCTGATTACGTCCTAGACATTTTATCGGAAAAAAAATCTAGAAGATTACTTTTTTGATAGTACAGGTCAAAGTTTTCGAGTTAAAAGTGTTATTCTCAGGTTTTTACCAGATTATATGTAGTTATAAATTAGTGATGAGTGTTTCTATAAATTAGTGCTGTCGAGGAGTGATAGATTAGTTTTATTAGTGAATACGTGTTTCCGTTAGACCTAACTATGCTTGTATATGGGTGTGTTGATAGTGTGTTAATAATAACCGAAACCATTGATGATCGTAGTCTACCTAAAGATAGCGCGTCGAAAAATTATCCGAAATAAAATGAGATGCCAGAGCGTGATCTGTAAGGATTTGTCACAACTACGTTTCTCCTCTCCGCAATCATTAAAAACCTACTTGAATATAAGCAAATAGTAGTTTACAGCACCATCTCTGAGACACAACTATGACGAATTGTCATAGATGACGCCCTGGTATCTTATTTCATCTCGAGTAATTTTCTGGATGCTGAAATACATTAGGTTAGCTATCTTCAGGTAGAATAGGTTAATCAATGCCGATACTTAAAGAACAACTAATCTTAGATGAGCATAATTTTGGTGAAATACAAAAATATCAAAAAATAAAAGTGTTGATTTTTTATACCGAAACAGCCATGTAGGCAGAAGCCTAAATACCGGGACACCGCGACTGGACTAAGGAGAGGTCGTACCAGCCAGGTGTGGATGTATGAAGTCTGGCGGATCTATCTCTGCAGCTCATCACGCGGCGGCATTATGGAGGCGAGCTCTGATGAGCCAATCCTGTTGAAATAGCGGTAGAAGAGGGCCATATCGCCGACGGCGTGTCGGTGCGAGAGGTCCCGGACCGTTCGGTAGAGAAGTGTCACCGATCAGCTTTGCTACCCACTTATTCAGTACAATAGCAGGAATGAGGTCAGGACCAGAAGCGGTATAGGGCTATTCTTTGAGAAGTTCAGCAGGGGTATTATGTAAAAAACGTAAAAAAACCGAAAAAATGTCATATTGCAGACTAGGTAGTTTTTAGTGCGCAAACATCTCATTCCACGTTTGCTAGCTATGGTTGCTGTTCGCTGACGTTCAGGCAACACGTACAGCTACAAAACAAATTCACAATAAGTGTACTACAGCTTGTGGTAAGTTAACATCTTGTAGAAAAACCTACGTTATATCACAAAAAACCGACAAAATGTCACTTTTCGAGATACGTAATACCCGTACCGTTCAATCTGTGCCTAATTCATTCACCGTGCTGGTCTTTGGCATTGCGAACCGCTTCGTTATATTTCTTCCTAGATCCGATGTCGTGCGACAGTCTGTCTGTTCTCTATACAGTGGGCTTTTGTAAGAAGTTTCTGTGTGTCTTGACCTTCTGTTGACGACCAGTGGCGTAAGATTTGTTCAACCAGCCGTTAGTCCCGTCCCTGGTTTTATCACTTTCATTGTACGAGGAATGTATTCCTTCATCCATTGTAGATAACTGTAGTTATTAACGAACGGACAGTCGACGCATCCGAGTGAGCGAAACAAACATCTCTCCAAAGAAAGCTGGAGAAAAAGTCACTGAGCCCTCCCAGTCAGTGTGTACGTCATGTCAATTTTTTGCTACCCAGGAGAGACAGCAAGAGAAATGAAGAAAACCGACTTACATAGCTTAGGCGTGGAAACTTCTGCGAGCATTTTTAAGCACCCTGGAAAAAGCTAGAGGGTAGTACCGCCTCAATCGACTGTTCCTTGTCTACCATCGTCTCTTTATTTTTAATGATTTTAAATAGACCTAATGTAGCCCGTTGGAGGACTTGTATCGTCACCAGGCAATAGGTACTGAGTGTTGGTACTGAGGTTTTCCTCAACACGGGTGCAATCACTTAGACGGGATTAAGTTGTATACTAAGTGCAACAACTTCCGGAACAAGTGTATTTGCTCAGTAGGGTTTAAATTAAAACTACACTGAAAGGAAAAAATCAGATTAACTTTTAGTATCCGTTAGCTTCTTTTTTACACCGAAGCAGCCGCGCAGGCAGAAGCCTAATTGCCAGGGCACCGCGGCTGCTATGGGGATCCCGAGAAATTTTATTAATCCGATTTGTGAACTGCCTAAGGTTAGTAAAACTGGTAAAAGCCTCCTCTTGTAGATTGTTCCACAATCTCGATACCCTAGGGACAAAGAAGCGGTTGTATCGGGCAGTTATGGATTTACAAAGTTCAGCTTTTGATAAAAGTTAAAATATTTAAAGCGTAGCTATGCAATCGAACTACAAATTTAGTAACCTTTGAATCGCGTAAGCCATTAGGAATAATTTTTATTAATTTTTCCGTGAAGCTCTACCAAAGGATCATTTTGTACACCCCTGTGTCCAAAATGATCCCCGAGATGCGGGTAAAATGATCCGGGGGATCATTTTACCCCACTATACAAAATTCATGTAAGAACTAAAAGAATCAATAATACTTTTACAAGTTTTATTGCAGATTCAGTATCAAAATGAATTAATAAAACACATATTTATAAAAAGAAACTTTTATTTAGAGGCCAGTAGAACCGAAAAGGAATCTTGAAATATACATCAGAACATTAATATGTACATGGATATATGTTCATATCATAAGAATGTATATAATATCAACTTTTACAGTCTTAATTGTTTCCGAGCAGAAGTGAAACGATCATCGGCATCGACACAAAAATCACATGTGAACTCGTCAGCGTCATCGGGATCAACGCCAGCGCAAGCTTCGTGGCCCCATCTTAAGCAAGCACAACATTTGATCCATCCTTCACCTCTATTATTATTGGAAAACCTCTCATTACAAAACAAACACTCAGCATCACTTTCGTCCTCTGAAGATGACTCACTTTTGCCTCTTTTAGGTTTTAGACGTTTGTATTTTTCGGTCACATTTTCTTTTGCTTTTCTTTTTCCTTTTTCCTCATTTGATTTAGAATTTCCCTTGATTGAGTTCTTTTTATTTTCGTTGCGTTTATTTTTTTTGCGTTCTTTTTCATTTTTTTTATTAACTTCCTCTTCTAAGTAATTTTTATAAGGCGAACTTGTAAGGATTGCTGTACATACTCGAGCTTTGATATTTTTTCTACGTTCTTCTGCCATTTTAGGGAAAGGTCGAATCTGGCATGGAGGGATGCTAAAAGATGTGGACGCAACTGGTGATGCAAATGAATCTTTATCCGAAGTGTCATAAGACGCCGATTGAGCAGCAGCTGCAAGAGATGGTGTATTCGTAGTTATGGATGAGGTAGAAGGCGAAACATTATCGTAGACGGAAGATACTTCAACTGATGTCCACGGTAATGGAATGGCGGCTGAACTTCTCAAGCTGTTAGAAATACTTTCGTTGGAAGCCAGAATAGTAGTAGGTGCTTCAGCTACACGGTATTCGTTATTCTCTCCTTGCTTGTGGGCTGCACATGTCGATAAGGTACAAGGTGACACAGCAGTAAGGTTGGATGGTTCATCAACTAGTACACATGTCGTAGAATCGGCTGGAAGTACATGAGCCCTGGGTATAAGTTGTCGCGGTTTATGGTCACCAAAAACTTGAATTTCATCAGGCGCTATATTTATTGATGGATGGGGCACCAATATTTCGTTACTTACTGCTTGATCAGTTGTGGTGGCAGCAACGAAGTCTACATCAGTAAAAACATCAGGATTGAGCGGCCATATTCCACACTTTTCAAATCCTTTGATAATATTTGAGGGTGCAGCAGCTTTCAAATATGCTTCTCCAAAGATTTTACCTATTTGAAAAACTGTTACTACACGACCCGCATTATTATTCATCCACCTTTCTAAAGCCTGGTTGTGATACACGCTCAGTGGAAACATTACACCAACATCGAGTGGTTGAAGTTTGTGCGTGCAGTGTGGGGGTAAGCACAAAATTGTTACGTTATTTTCTCTGGCTTTTATTATGACGTCCAAATTTCTGGTATGAGAAAGATGGCCGTCCAGTATTAGAAGTATGGGATCTTCTGTAGATGGTTTAGTATGGGACAAGAAATGGTCAAACCACTGAGAGAAAACCTCAATATTCATCCAGCCGGAGGGATTGCACGCGTACACAGAGCCTGGTGGAGTACCGTCCATTAATTCTATTTTCATTCGCAATCGGCGAAATATTAGCATTGGTGGTATGAAGTTTCCTCCAGCTGATCCGCAAATAACCGCTGTTGTTGATTCACCTCTTTCGGCAGACGTGATTCTCGCTACTTGTTTGCGCCCTTTTTTGGCAAAGATTTTACTATTTTTGGTCGGAACGGTGTTCAAACTAGTCTCATCAACGTTAAAAATGCGATGAGGAGGAAATACATGCTTTTCCTGAGCTTTTTGTAAATTTTTGTAAAATTTGTCAATAATCGGTTTATTGAATGCTCGAGCTCGTGCCGCTGACGTTGACTCCGGGGCACGTAGAGTGATATCAGGATGTCTTTGTCGAAACCCCCTTAGCCAGTCTTTACCAGCTTTACGGGACGTAGTAGAAAATGGATGCCTTATTTTGTTTCTTTCAGCTATCTCAAAAGCAAATTTACGAACGTCATCAACTGTAAAACCGTACATAGTCTCTTCATTGTCTTTAATATGTTGCACTAGCTCCAGCTCCTGTTCATCCGTGAATACTTTCTTGATACTTCCCAACATTTTGGTGCCCCCCACAGCGTAAACGTTCTTTCCTTTAACTCTTCTTTTGAGTGCCATAAGTGGGACTAAAAATTGTTTGGAGGCGGCTTTATATGGCATACCCTGTTTTACGGCTTCTATGGCTTTAATCATAGCTTGTTCATCCCAGTTCTGACGTGTTGTTTTCCGGATGTAATTTCGCGGCATGATTTCTGAAAGTAAAACGGCATTAATGGCTACCACATATTTTAAGCAACAAAATAAAGATAAATTGAATAGTATCACAAGGTTATATATTGTGAAAACTTATGACTATTGCATTATTGAAGTCGTTTTTTTATATGCATACTAGTTACTATTGGGTGATAATATAAAAAAAACATATCTATTGGAAGTAGGTAGACGGGGTAAAATGATCCTAGGAATCATTTTGCCCACCCCGTATAGGGATCGTTTTGCCCCAAATGCGTCATTAACGAAAACATCAGAACATAACCTTTGTTTCTCGAATATTGTAATGAATGATGGTTAATTCTATAGTTAATTAGTACCAGAAACTGATACAAACACACCAACCACATAATATATACATAGAGTAAAGCACCATAATGTCAAATGATGGCTTACCTTAGATTGAGAGCACTGATGTTAAATATTTCGTGATAAAATCTTCACCATTGCCTGTGATGCCACGATACCGACTGAGATTGTACAGCTTAACCATAGGAGCGTGTAGCTTATTAAAAGCATCCTAGATGACGCTATAAACTCAGTAAAATAGCCGGGGATCGTTTTACCTTCAGGGATCATTTTGTACCACTTTCCCCTACATCGCGCGGAGGCATCATGGAAGAGAGCTCTGAGGAGCAAATCCCGTTAGTGTAGCGGTAGAAGAGAGCTAGGTCGCCGACGGCTTGGTGGTGCGAAAGTGTCCCGAGACTGTCTGTCTGCATTGACATGGATAGTGTAGTCAAGGCGGCAGCATCCCAAACATGTGAGCACTACTCGAAGCTGGGTCTTATCTGGACCTTGTACAGAATGAGGAGGTCATGTGGAGAAACGAACTTCTTCAATCAACCAATCAATCAATAGGCTTTATTCGAAACAAGTTAACTAAAACAAAAATAAATGAACAAATAAAGCGTAGGACCGATAAGTATTGAAGTATGAGATACTTGTTTCGGCCTAACTATAATAAAAACACTTATAATTACAATTACAAAAGGCATCACAAATGTTAAAGCACTATGAACATAACACTACAGTTACTACAAGTAACTACATCTGATCACTAATTAATTAAATTCTCCATTGTTTGGCGTGGTTGGTCCAAAATGGAGTGCTTTAATGCTTTTTTGAATGGTGCCAAGTTGTTCATATGTTGTACATTCGAAGGAAGAGTATTATACAACTTGGGAGCAATATACGCATATGAACGCTTGACAAACAGACTTTTGGAAAAAAGGCACGACATGGCGATGTTTTTGGCCTGTAGGGTACGAGTGCGTTGACAGCATAATGTCCTGATGATTACAGTGATTCCTGGTGATAACTTTAAAACAGAACATATGTCGAATGTTTAGGTTCTTTGTTTCACTGTATACACGTTCAGAGGGAAATATTGGCTCTTTAGAGTATGTTAATTTTAACATTCTTTTTTGGAGTATTACAACAGGAAGGATGTGAGTCTTCGAAGCCCGCCCTAAACAATTAGCCTAGACTTTTTTCATCAGCTGGTGCTATTGATGAGATGTGTTCGTGCCAGATCAAGTACTCGGTGATCTGGACCAGCCGAAATGAACGGCTGTTTGGCAGAGCTCGCCCATCCATCGAAATAGATACAATATTGTGTTTTGGAAACATTGATCTTTACATGATTGTTGCGTCCCCGAGCAGTGATAACCTCCACGTCTCTCGTCAGAGAGGAAGTCGCTGCTAGTCTTCTTTTTTCCAGCTCACCGGCAAAGATCGGCTTGTGACTCTGAATTCTTGCATGTAGAATGCTGTCATCAGCAAAGCTTTGGAATGGACTGATCGTACAGGAAAGGAGGTCGTTGATATATAAGACGAACAGGAAGAGAACCCGTCATTTACTACGGATACCTTGCGATCAGAAGGAAAGTCAGCCATCCATCTGCAAAGCTTCTCTGGAAGGTCATAGGAAGGAAGTTTTCCTGAGAGGGCAGCATGCAACAGAACACTTTGATATCATCAGCAACAGCATGAGCCTCATACCATAAGACTGGATGAGTTTATTCCACAATTGCGTGAGCTAGGAGGTCGCCTGTGGACGCTGGTGCCGGAAACCATACTGCCTAATCAAGCCGTGACTTTCGAGGTACTTCAAAAGCGCTCGATTTATGCACCTTTCTACCATCATACTTATAACAAAAAGAAGAGCTTTTGGCCTATACTTGTAAGGGTCGGTCTTGGACCTCTTTTTTGGGATGGGTTGGCCACGAGCAAATTTCCATTTTTTTTTTTGGAAGAGACGCGAAAGAACTGGAGCAAGCTCCGCTGCATACCTCTTCAGGACAGGCAGGAATCAGGTCCGGAGCAGAAGCTTTATTGTTGTCGAGCGACAAGAGCACCCGCCTTACAGTCTTATGCCTGAATGTTACTTCCCGCATAGTGTAGGGAACCGTTTGATTCGACGGCACTCGGGCGTTGGTGGAGTGCAAGGGAAAACATCTTGATAAGCACTTCCGCCTGATCTCATCCGACAGCCAGGCTGCAATGAAAGCACGTGCCTGTAAGATTACTTCGAGTCTTATATAGCAATGCAAGGAGGCTCTAGATTGCCGCGCAGCGAGGCATCCGGTATCGTTAATGTGGGTACCGGGGCACGCTGGGATAAGGGGCAATGAGAGGGCGGACGCTCTGGCGCAGACAGGATCAGCCAGCAAGCTTGTTGGTCCTGATCCAGCTTTAGGAGTGCCCACACATAGAGTTAGGAGGAAAATGGAGACGTGGATTGCAATTCAACAATCTTAGAAATGGAGGAGTATCTCCAGACATCTCCGCCAGGCACGGGAACTCATTGAAGGGCCCAATGCTAAGGAGGGACGTTTCTGCTTATCTCTGGATAGAGCCAACCTAAGGTTGCTGGTGGGACTGTTATCTGGCCATAACACGTTAAGGCGCCACGCCACCTGCACGTGATGGGGGTGGCTGAGGATCCCTTGTGTGAGCACTGCGGGGTACAGGAAGAGACCTCGGCGCACTTTTGTGTTGCTGTGAAGCTCTGAGCTACTATAGGCAGACTATACTGGCGTCCATTACTTTGGACCCTCAGGACGTCAAGGAGCTTGGACTCAAGGCGATTCTCGACTTCGCTAAAAGGGCGAGGCTTGTGATCTAAGGAATGTAGAGGTGCATAATGGCCCGTTTAAGCGGCCTATGCACTGGCTCCTTATGGTGGCCGGAATGCCTCTAATTTCACGATTCATTCATTTATTCACTTCCGCCTTAGGCTTTGAGTCGGTTAAAATCGTTCCATCCTGGCACGTAAGTGGTGGAAGGCTACTCTGTGAGAAGTTCCTACCAATCTCATTGTCCAGCGTCCAGAAAGACCGATTGCAATTCACTTTATGAAGGATGTATTCCTCCATCCCAACGTGGAGAATTTCCGTTATTTATGAACAGACAGTCGACGCTTCCGCGTCAGCGAACAAAGATCTCTCCAAGGAAAATGGGGAAAAGTCTCACCCATCCCAGCCGGCATGTCCGTAATGCAAAATTTGCAGACTGGGCAAGTGGTACAGCCTCGGTCGACTGGTCCTTGTCTACCACCTTTTTTTGCTTGTTAATGGTGTTAAATAGACCTAAAGTGGCCCGTTCGCGGACTTGTACCGTCACACAGGGAGCTTGTACTAAGGTATCCCTTAACGCGTGTACAATCACTTGAACGGAAACTCTGTTTCGTTAGACCCCACATCCAATTAATTTCAAGAAATTTGTATAAAAATGGTCATTAGAAGAATAATTTTATACCAAATTGGGAGATAATTTCTGATCCGACCCTGTCTACAATTTAGCAACGCCTATATGTTCCGCTGGCTGGAAGTTGGTGTTGTCAGCCTGTTTTCTCATCAGAATAAAAACAATTTCCCTAAAAAGTTACCGTTCAATAAATGTCATACGTCAATTGACTTAAATCCGTCTTTTGTCAAATTTTAGGCAAACAAGCCGCTTTGGTGGAGATTTTAGCGCCAGAAACTGCTAAAAGTAAGAAAATATCTACAAGCAAAAGGTAATTACCTTATTTTCTGTAGATCATAAAAACCAGTTGAATTAATTTTTGATTCCTACCACAAGTCATAAATCAACACGAACAAAAGAAATCTATACACGATACACGTGTTTTTTCCTTTTATAAGCGATGCCGGTTGAAAGCTTTTCTTTTTCGCTTCAGACCGCCATCAGATCAGTTGAAATGGAAATGGAAACCACATCACCTATGAACAACCACGTAAATAAAGATAGCAATAAGGACGAGAAAATGGATGAAATTCCCGCGGACGAAATGACTTCCAGAGATTACTATTTCGATTCTTATGCACATTTCGGCATCCACGAAGAAATGCTGAAAGACGAAGTAAGAACTTTAACTTATCGAAACTCCATGTACCACAATAAACATTTGTTTGCTGGCAAAGTGGTTATGGACATTGGCTGTGGTACAGGAATCTTGAGCATGTTTGCAGCTAAAGCTGGAGCAAAGAAGGTGTTAGCTATTGAATGTTCAAACATTGTAGACTATGCGAGAAAAATAGTCGAGGCTAATAAGTTGGATCACATCATAACAATCATTAAAGGCAAAGTAGAAGAAGTTACTCTACCTGATGGCATAGAGAAGGTTGATATTATTATCTCGGAGTGGATGGGTTACTGCTTGTTCTATGAAAGTATGCTGGATACTGTACTATTTGCCCGTGACAAATGGCTGCATGAAGATGGCTTGTTATTCCCAGACCGTTGCTCACTTTTCATCACTGCCATAGAAGATCGTCAGTATAAGGATGAAAAGATCAATTGGTGGGATGATGTGTATGGTTTTGACATGAGTTCTATCCGTAAAGTAGCTATAAGTGAACCTTTGGTGGATGTAGTAGATCCAAAGCAGGTAGTTACAGGGCCAGCTCTTGTTAAGGAAGTAGATTTGTACACAGTCAAAAAGGAAGATTTAGAGTTTAGCTCACCATTCACTTTAACTGTAAGAAGAAATGATTATATCCAGGCTTTGGTTACTTATTTCACTGTAGAATTCACAAAATGTCATAAACGTATTGGATTTACAACTGCGCCTGATGCACCTTATACTCATTGGAAGCAGACAGTCTTTTATTTTGAAGATTACATGACTGTTAAAAAAGGTGAAGAGATTCATGGTGTTTTTACAATGAAACCAAATCCGCGCAATAATAGAGACTTAGATTTTGTAATTGAGATCAATATGAAGGGTGAACTATGTGAAGTTCATGAAACTAACAGATATCGCATGCGTTGATTTAATTAATCCTTTTAAAAGCTTAGTTTCCTCATCAACTTTTGCCTGTAATTGATGAATGATTCATGTAAACCGCCAGTCTCAGTACTCTATTGGTGGTTCAAGTAAATTATATTTTTGAAACATACTTTTTACAGATAGCACTCAGGTTGTGCCTGAAATAAGATATTTTTAATATAACTTCCATGCTATGTTGTGTAATTTTATCAATCTCTGTAATGTGCCTCATGGTATTTAAATTCATAAAGTAATATTTTCAGCTACAAAAAAAAAACAGATTGCCAGATGGGGATGTAGTTATCAAGTTTAAAATTTCCTTTTTTTTATTATAATTGACATCTATTATTGCTTATTCTTATCTGACTTCATTGCATCACATGCATCTGGTTTTCTGCTTTTAGAAACTAATTTTCTTTGGATCATATATTTTTAAATTTAGGTCTACACCAACAGGTTACTGAAGTCAATACTCACATTTACAGCTGCAAGCTTCTTTTTTATAACATGGAGGTTTTACAAAAAAATCATTGAATAAATACAATGAGACACAATTATTGATTGTATTTAGTTTTAAGACATACACCATTAGAAATAACTACAACTGTATTTTGATCTGTGAATTTTTTATTTACCTAAATTAGGTCTAAAATATGTGAAAGTATTTATGATGGTAACTAATAAATTTTCCATTGTAATGATCATTTAATTTTTTCTCTGGAAAGGATTTATAAGAATATTTTTATCAAATCTATCAGGATAATATCTTCATGGAAATATTTTGATCAATGTGTTGCCTCTAGATTGATGACTGACCTAGATTGTAATTCTATTGGGAGGAAATGCTGTTTTGCAAACAATATTTGTTCTAGGCTTCATGTTTATTTGAATACAATTTTTACACACAATATCATTAATACAAAATGAATAAATAGTAACAGAACAGCTTTAACAATTTATGATCTTAAAAATATATTTTGTTTTTGCACTTTAAAATCACTTCTCAACTGGATGAAATTATGTAAAACTGATTTGTCTAAGTTCACCAGGGAGTCCTCTGAACAAACTTGCTGCAGATTTTCTGGCTTTACAAGCAAAAGATTGCATAAGGCATGGAGCGTTTCAAACAGCTCAGTCACCAAAGGGCCCATCTGCTTGCAACATGATCTGTACTCATTCAAGTCACAAATGGCAACCATTGCTCCTGAAATGGATAAAGTTATGTAATTTTATCAGGAAGTGCTTTCCCACTTTTTGAAACTGCTTGCGTTCAGGATATGTAAGTTCTTGTTTTGAGCATTCAGATTTGCAGTAGAATGTAGTAATGTTAACTCCACATCAGTACAGCATCTTGGTCCATTTAAATTATAATGAACACGACCGAACGAATGGATTGGTTCGTTAGGATTGTTAAAAAAATTTAAATTAATTTTTATCCACTTCTATACTGAATGGGAGGAAGCTCGAAAATCGGATCAGTGGAGGTCAGTTAGACGTAAAAACACGAAGACCTTATCACCCAGGTAAGTTCAATAGACTTTTGAGATATTTGCTTAAAATACTGTGTAATAAAAAGTATCAAGGGCATACCCAGCTCAAAACGGAAGAGGAGGTCACCTACAAAAACATTTTTTGTGGAAGCTCCACAAATCATATCTACATAACTATGCTTGATATTTTCCTTCCTATTTGCATTTCATTTATATAGAGCCTTCCACGACGATTTGACAATTCATATTGATATGGAAAACTATTAGAATTACTTTTTTGAAATATTCGAGCAAATTTTACGCGAGATGCTTTTTTAAGTGATAATTTAGTTCTTTGGAATACATGAAAGCAACACTTTAGATCATATAAAAAATTCAAACGGTGCTCCTCTTTCAGCCAAGTCAATAGGCCAGGGAAGTTCAGTAATCGTGAAAAAACTATAAATGGAAGATTTTCAGATAGAACCTAGTAGATACATTTTTTGTTGCATTCGGCAGGTAATCCTTGGCCCCTATTACAGATTGAAAACTATTTATAGTTTTTGTTAATAGGTTCTGTTGCGCAAGAGCAATCTTAAAAAAACGAAGTAATCATTGGTCCATCTATATAACTTGAATAGTATCACTGAATTTTGAAAGGCCTATCTAATGTAGTAATCTAGTATTTTGACCAAAAAAATTATAACTCGCCCAATATTGACTTATTTTTTTTTCATGTCTGTTGATTTTGTCCGAAATCAAAAATTTCCTTAGAGGAGACAAAAATTCAGAAAGAAGTCAATTTCTATTGACATATTTTAAGATGTAGTCAAGAGTTTCTTTGAAGGAATCAAAGATTGCGAAATCCATTTTTCAAATTCTAATCATCCATGCACTTTTTTATAACTCCAAACACAACACGAAATGTGCAATACGATAAGAGTGAAATCTGCGTTGGAAAATCGGTAAACATATTATCTAGAAACGTCAGAAAACTTATTTGATCAGACTAACTACCGAAATATGAACCCTGTAAAAGAAATTGTACAGAATATATTCTTTGGTGTGCATGTAAAGGTCCCTCTTGAAACTTTCTGGGTAACTTTTTTTTATCAAGCTTTCGAGTTATAATTGGGAAAGGGATGAAAATAAAGGGTGTCTCAGAAATATTTTCGTTTTTAGATCAGTCCTCTGGCGGAATACGCATGCTCCGGAGAAATGAGACAGTTGACAAACGTTTGGCAACATTGTTAAATTTTAGTTGCAATGGAGCGTTTTACAGGGCCGCAACGTGCTTTTTGTGTTCGCGAGTTCTATAAAAACAAGGATTCTTATGTGCTTGTACGTCGTTTGTACAGAAATCATTATAACATAGCAAGAATGAGAGATGTCCCAAACGCAAATTTAATTAAATATTAGGTAAGAAAGTTCGGGAGCACTGGAAACACGTGTATTAGTAAACCGCCTGGACGGCCAAGGTCAGCAAGATCGAACGAAAATATTGAACGTGTGCGCCAGTCCGTTAACGAGGATCCCCGGCAATCATTAAGACTGCGTGGAGCGTCTCTAACTTTGCATAAGTCAACTGTTCATCCCATTATTCGCAAGGATTTGCATTTTCACCCATACAAGATTGTTGTTACACAACAATTAAAACCACAAGATCCCGCTAATCGATTAGAGTTCTGTAGAACAATGAGAGAGCATTTTAACGGTTACAACAACATATGGTTTTCTGATGAATCGAATTTTCACATTAACGGGCATGTTAATAAACAAAACTGCCGATATTGGGCCGAGCAGAACACGCAAAATCTTCATGAGACGCCATTACACTCGCCTAAAGTTATCGTCTGGGCTGCTATGTCAGGGCAAGGAATCATTGGCCCGTATTTTTTTGAAGACAATCGTGGCCAAGCTCAAACTGTAACATCTGAGCGCTACTGCCACATGATTAGGACTTTTTTAACTCCAGCTATACAGAACCATGGTGGCTACAATAGAAACACGTTTTTCCAGCAAGATGGAGCGACTTCTCATGTCACGAATGAATCCTTGGATGCTCTTCATCAGTTATTCCCAGAGAGGGTCATCAGTCGCAGAGGAGACATTAACTGGCCACCGAGAAGTCCCGATTTGACACCAGCAGATTTTTTCTTATGGGGATACCTGAAGAGTAAGGTATACACCCCACCGCCACAAGATTTGAGAGAGTTGAAGCAAAAAATAACAGATGAAATAAACGCCATTCCTCGAGCAATGCTTCGGAGAGTGATCGAAAACTTCAGTTCGAGATTAAGAGAGTGTGAAAACATGAACGGTGCTCATTTGTCCGATACTCTTTTCCATAAATAAAATTAATGTTTAGGCTTTCGTTTGGTAATAAATTTATCTTTGTAAAAATATTCTAAGTATTTTTATTTATGGCATAAAATAAGAAAATATTTATGAGACACCCTTTACCTTCAAAATGGGTATGTCCAAGTCGTTGCAACAGTTGATTGGTTATTGTAAAAAATCCGAAAAGTGCATAAGAGTAAATATGAAATGGTATCCAAAAGTTAAAGCCTTTGTGATTAACAACGAAAAAGATCTCCAAAGGAGCTCAAACTATCCAGCGACGTAACTGCTGCATCAAATTAGACATACCGTTTCTTATACCCCGTCTCAACTTTGATTTGTCTTATGTACGCCATTTTTGTATAGGCGAATATCTTTTAATTCTGATTTAAAATATTAAAGCGATAAAAATGACTTACGAGTGAATTCGGAAATACTTTGAATTTCCAAACTGAACAAGTTTCTATTTTTTTAACTTGCCCCCATAAAGTACTCCGCGTGATTAAGAACGAATGTCTCAAGATCCGTATTTACTGTTATTCGTCAATATATTTATAATAAGATGTGATATTTATTGACGTGTAGCTCGGACGTCAGTAATTATTGATGCATATTTTTACGCAAAAATCCACTGATGGTACGGACCACTGCAAATAATGATCGTGTGACATTCGCTTCACTGTTTCCGAGATCTGAAAGGCGAGATTCGAATTTAAAACAAAAGTATAGTAAAATTAAGTTTGTATCTAACATAGATTTAGTAATTTCTCATCTAATAGATATTTATTCAGCTTGTGGAGAACCCTGTGCATGAATAATTTAATTTTTGTAAAAAATGTTCTCTTCATTTAGCTAGTGAAAAGGGGGGGGGGCACCTGCCCCCCTGGATACGCCCTCAAAAAGTATATATTTTTCTGTTTCCATATCCTTTTTTCCATATCCTTTCAGGTTTGGAGTATACAAGCTGGTAGATCTGAGTAAACTGAACAAAAAAGCTCGTATATATTTTACGGCGTCGCTACTGAGATTCAAGTTAATTCCTCTTAAATTAATTGAGTGATCCAGATGAAACTGTGTCAATTGAAAGTATTCATTAAGGGGCTTAATTTGTATTGGATATATCTGACTTAATCATCCCAAGCGCAGTGCTAACAAATTTTTCAGGTAAAAAGGCAGCGGTTAAGGAACTTTCAGTCAAAAAACACTTTCGCTGCTGGTAAGTGGGCGACTCAAAAGTTTACAGCTAGAAAACTGTTGGAATTCCCAGAATTGAACCAGTGGCGTAGCGTGCATTGGCGGGGCCCCGTATAAAAAATTGTTTGGGGGCCCTTATATTCTTTGGGGGTAAAGATTTTTCACAAAAGAAAAAAAATATTGTGAAAAGAAATATTTATTTATCATAACATAATTTAACCATTTTACAAATAAAAATCAAATTTTAAACATTCATTCTCCTTGCCTTTTTTTCGGCAAACTGATTTATTAAATCATTTATGGCTGATGATGATTTTAGTTTTTCTAAAGTTTCTACCTCTATGGACAATAGTGAGAGGTCTGACAGCCGTTCTTGTCCCATCGAAGTTCTTAAGTAATTTTTTATCAGTTTTAATTTTGAAAAACTTCTTTCAGCAGTTGCGGTTGTAACTGGAAGGGTCAAGAATAAAAAGCATGCTGTGATTACCTCGGGAAAACTAGATGCAAGACTATTGAATTTTACTAGCAATAATTCAATGAGTTCTTTAATGGAATAAATTTTTTGAATTTCAGATTTTAAACATGTTTTTAGAGCCTTTAATTGGTCACAAAGATTAACTGAGATGTCTTTACTGTATTTAACGGACAGTTTTCCGGAAGCGATTAATAT